AAGATGGATCTTGTTTAATGCAGTGTCACCTACCCTTTTTGGGCCCGCAAACTGGCAAATTTCCATAAAATATTTGCAGACTCAAAAAAGTTGTGCACGAAAAACTTCATGGCGGCTATTTAGAAAGTGTCGGCTTTTTAAAAAAAATTTAAGAACCGAGGAGGCAGCTTTAGGGAAATGTCTTCAAAAAATTAAAAAGGTGGGCTTGAATACAGGTTTCAAGCCCACCTCAGAATGAGAAAGTTATAAAAAAAAAAAAGATTCAGCTGGTGACAATTTGTCCGAAGTGCTTTTCGGAGAAAAGCCAACTTCTATTTTTTCATCAGATAATTTCAACTGCCATTGGCTTCCCGAAATTTCATACACATATAACAGACTTCATTGCTACTTTCGATAAATTTATCATGCTGCAGAAAATTTCCCACGGACAGGCAAAAAAAAAAAAAAAAATTCCGCGGACCACGGGTTAGCGAACATTGATAGAATAAAAAAATAGGGCATAGACCGCCTTTCGTTCAATCTGGAAATCCTTTCAGAAAATTAAATATAACTATGTAACAGGTTATTAACCTTGAGCAGACCTCGCTAGAAGCAGGATACAAATCGAGAACCGTCCGAAGGGAGATATACATATACATTATATATATATACGAACACGATTTAACACTTCCATTCGCCCTGCATGCGCTTTCATTGAACGAAATCGTGATGGAAGAGAAACTATCGAAACATTGGGGAGGCGCCGGCTGAGGCATTCAGAACGCTTCACGAAATACCTGCCACGCCCGCTCGGATCACACATTCATTTCTCGCCGCGCACTCTCGATCCACGCAAAAGGATATCGCTTCATTCATCAAATTTTCCGGATAATTGAAACCTCTGGGAACGTGGGTCGCGGGTTCGACGATGAACAAAAAGGCTCGCTTTACCAGCATGATGAATGAGAGACGCGGAGGAGATCAGATCCCCCGGACAGAGGGGGGCACCAAGGAGGGCAACTGGAAAAACTTTTCAATCTCCGAAAGAGCCGAATTCCGCTGGTAGCGATTTTCTGCGATCTATGGTTTCCGATTAGCGAAGGAGGGAAGCGAAACAAAAGACCGGGAGGGGAGGAAAAAGAAAACGGGGAAGGCTTTCAAAGGGGCACAGGCAAATAAGTGCAAGATTCTCTGAGTAAATACCGAAATGGCGAAGTTTTCTGCCCCCCGCCCAAAGAATAAAAACCCCGACGATTTTCAATAATGCTCGGACATAAACATGACCCCGAAAGAGGTACACAGAGGGATGCTTCAAAAGTTTGTCTGCAACTCGGAATGAAGTTTCTCGATCAGAATCCTCCTCACCGAAAAAAAAAAACGGTCGTGGGATCAATAAAAAATCTATTGAAGCAAGCCTGCCATTTTGTATCACTTATCTTCAATTTTCAATTGCAGCCCCAACTTTGCATCTAAATTCTCATTCATGGAAAATCTTCTTTAACGCTAAAATTACACCAATAACGTTAAAATTGCCATGATGAACACCATTTTTGTTCAGTAAATGGCAGTCAAATCCGAGACATTGTTGAAATACAATTTTCCGATTGCTTGAAACATCTGAGAATCCTCGAAGTTCCGAAAAATTCACAAACGAACGAATAAATTCAGGAAGAGAGATTACTCCGTGCCAAAATGGTTGCAATTTCCGTTTCCGATCATTCATTGATAGCAATAACTAATTTATGAAGAGAATTTTCCATTTGGATGCCATTTTCGGAGTAATTTCACTTGTCGGGAGGAATTCAAATTCTCAAAGATTTCTGGGGCGAGAGTGACACATTTAATTTTTTTCGCACTAAAATCTCTTCCATCCGCTGCTCCGAAGAAGTTTGGAGAAAAGAAGAATCGGCATAAAAAGAATAAAAGCCCGAAAACTAGACAAACTTTTCGCAGAAAACAACGCTGAAATGTGAAAATTTCTCAGCGAAGACTTATCGACTCGACACCATATAGTGGTATACCAACAGGAATACTGCAGTGAGCTGCTCCTACAAAATTCGTAGTATTGATCCTTCAATGCGATGATCCTCCATTCACTAAAATATGTTTTTAGATTCATTTTGAGAGATCCAACGCATCACATTTTCATGTTGAAAACTCTCAAGGGGTACAGTGCTTGGTCCTTCAAATGAGGAAGAAGAAAACGAAGAAAGAGAAGTTTAAACAAAATTTTGGCAGGAATTTCTTGTCCATTTCACGCGTAAAAAAAAGTTCTCATCTATTCCATGGCCTAGAGTGAAAAAAACATTAATCATCAATATCTCATCATGTGAATATTCGAGAAAACCTTTAATTTCCACATCAATAACGACATTGGAAATCTTATTACTTCTGACGGAATCCAGTACTACACATGATTATTTCTAACTCGGGGGTACCTTGAGAACCGGGAATGCAGATTCAATATTAACTGTCTAGAATGAGCCCTGATACGGATGGCAAAGAAATGGGTTTGTAACAAACGACTTCCGAATCACTGAAAAAAAAATCCGAAAGTTTCCAACGATCAGCGACTTCGTGAATCGGTTTCAAACATGAAACTGCCATCAAGAACTCGGTCCCTTTCTGGGACAATTTCCCCGTGCTGAAGCACAGCGAATATATAGGCTGCTTTCAAAGCCTGCGGGGGAGCCGGAGATTTTTCACAGAAGTCCCAAGAGACGTTTCATTAGCGGATCCGCAGGCATCGCCTTTCAGCGGTAATTGTCGGTCCTTTCGCATCCTCATCCATCGCTACAAATCAAAGGGGATAGTCCAGAAATGGAGTCGAATAAAGGCGGGCGGAAAAAACAACGAAACCTTCCGAGAGGGTTTCTTTCGAAATGGAACGACGCCGAGAATCCATCGACGGCTGTTCTCCTATTACCCGAAAGTCGAAAGTGCATTAAGGGCCCCTCCACGGATGTAACTTCAGTGTTGCCACCTTTGGCTGCTCGCATCGTCCTCAACAAGTTGATTATATTGTTCGGAGAGAGCAGACAAAATCTCTGCTACCAGATCTGCGTGTTTAACAAACCGACTGTTAGAATACAGGACAGTACTGTACTGTACAGTAATTATATTTCGAACGCTAAGAAAGATGCGCGTCAGTGGATATAGATGTCAATTCCATAACATTTACAGGCCTGCGTTTTTAGACCAGCATCACAACTTAAGAAGCCCGTTTTAAGATACCGTTTTTGAGAAACTTAAGAAACCAAATTATATATTCATCACAATGAAGCTCCATTAAAAACATATTTCTATATCTGGGCCCCGTAGGCACTAAATCTTGACGTTTAAATTACTTATCTTTACGATTCTCACCTTAATCGACTTTACAGACACAATCGAATCAGCCTAATGTTGGAGGTATTTTTTCATCAGGGGTAATTCTACTTGTTCTTCGGTTACTTAATCTGCTTAATCATAAGTCCTTCGGGAGGTTTGCATGTTGGAGCCTTGGAAGTGCTTTGCCAACTGCTTAAGAACCTCTTGAATAAAAAAAGTAAAACAACTCATGCCAATTTTTTCTCTCTACCGAATTGCCCATTTGTATGAGAAGGTAGGAGTTTCAATTTCATCTCTGCATTTGAAAATACTGATGTAAGACGTATATTAGTCATGAACCAGCCCTCCTGCTGCCGGCATTGACAATTGATCATTAAATTAATGCACTCGATACACAGGTGAACTCTATCTACAACGGATTTCAGGGTACACGACAAGAATTTCGTTGTGGAGAGAATTTTGATGTAGAGAACCCTATTTATGGAACCAAAACAAAATTCGCTAAACAGGGAAAATCGTCGTGGAAAAAAGCGTTTTAGAGACCCGTGTTAACGATGGGAAGACTTTCCACGTGGTTCCAACACATTATAATTCAACGATTATTTTCCCGTTAACGCCTACATTTTTTTCCAGAAATTAAGAGCCACGTCCCACCGGAATCTCAAATTTTACCATCAACAACTTTACCAGACCTAAACCATTCCTTGGACACAACAAAAAGCGATAAAATCCAGATGACACCAACGCAATGATGAAGAACACGACGCAGTCATAGGTACCCTAAAACCCAGTCCGCCACTTGAAGCCAGTTGTCTTGATGCACTAAATCTTCAGCAGGGAATCTCGGCCAGTCAGGACATAACGCAGAAATCCTCACATGCACACACCCCCGGAAAGTGGTCATTAAGTCAGCAGTCTGCACCAGTGGCAGTCCTGAGATAACTTATCCTCCCTGCATCTTTTTAGGGTGCCCTGACACACACTGAGCACTAGCACTCAGTCCCAGCTTGCATTGCACCAAACGGCTCATCATGACCTGACAAGCACACACACCACCACCACTCCCGGCACCCACCACAGCCCGTCAGACAAAAAAAGATATACACCACTCTGTCCCTTTCGTTTCATCCCGACCCCAGCAACATATACTCGTGAAGATACCCTCATTTTCGGGGTCGGAGATACCCCCGTAAGTAACTACAAGCCACTTCTTTGAGCTTACATCCGCTGATAATTCGTGATGAACTCAAACAATAACAAGGAATTCCTGGTTGTAAATGGGGGAATTCCTCTTCTCGTCAGCTGCCACTTGAGCTCTGAAAGCATCTTCATGGAAGCCTTATTGTCCTCATGAGAAGCTGATGTTTTCAATTGAATGCAGGTCATCATTGAAAAATATGTACATGGAAAACCTTCATCCAATACTTGAACCATCTTTAGCAAGCATAGGAATATTTCCCTCGGAAAACTGTCACTAATGTTGACTCATCCTTGGGATAATGCCTCGTTTCCTTATAGAAGTGACAGGATATCAATTATTTATTTCAAGAAATGCACTGCGGCTTATTTTCGGAAATTTTCCACTTGTATATACAGTATTGTACTGCAGCGGGGAATCTGCGGATCCAATCTTCAGCTTGTAAACCGCTAGTAATTCGTGCTGAACTCGAACCATGACAAGACATTTTTATTTACTTCTAACATAGAAATATACATTTATAATTGAGCTCTGAAAGCTTCTTCATTGATATCTTATTGTCTTTATAGAGAGAGCTGTTGTCAATTGAATGTACGCGTTCTTTGAAAAATACATGAAAAACCTTTATTATAATAATCTGACCATCTTAAGCATGCATCAGAATATTTCCCTCGGGATATTGTCACCATCAATGCTGACTCATTCATGGGATAATGCCTCGTTTCCTTAAGAAGGACAGAATTTCAATTGTCTCTTTTAAAAATGCATTGCGGCTTCAAAGAAATTACTTTCAAAGAATTTTACACTGCCATAAACGTGCAATTAGTGAGTCCAATTTTCAACAAGCAAAATTGAAAAACCAAACCTCGAGTACATTACCAAGATGCAGAACCAATTCTAAATCCCTCACCATTTGAGCCTCAATCCACCAACAAGGTTATGAATAATCTCAATCCCGCATGGGCTAAATTTGAAAAAAAAAATCAGTTCAAATTACAGTAATTTATGGTACAGTCAACAACAATTTATCAGGAATTGACGCGCTAATATTCTATTAATCGGTCTTTCTTTCTGGAAATACGGTAGATCAGGATTTCCTTCAAATAAGCAAGCTTCATGGAAATAATGGCCATATAATTAATCAACAAAATACAGTACTGTACAGTCATAATCTTTTCCTGGTCATGTATTTCGTCAAATGTTCATTATTAAAATCACGCGTTGAGTTTCACATTTTTTTCCTCTTGGCAGGCTTGGTTGGAAACACTATCGTAATGCATTGTAAGGGTATACTCGACACGGATAGCGAGCTAAAACCTTCTTCTCCGAGCACTCTGCCAAAGAATTCACCAAGAGGTGGCGTTCTGCCCGTGGGTGCATAACACACACACGCACACACACATACATATACCCTCTCCAGACACTTCGCAGAAAGCTGCACATATCCGAGCCGCCTTCGCCTTGAATGAAAATAAATCCCACCCCTAATGGAACTTTGAACTCGGTTATTCCGTGGACGAGAATGAGGAAGTTCGGTCCATTTCCGTACATCAAGCGCAAGCCATAAACCAAGAATGTGTGGAGAGGAATGAGTCGCCTGCTTTCTCGCAACAGACAGCAGACTAGACATTTATAAGAATGCCCGTATCTTTCTCGTTAGTCTTTCCAAACTGAAACGAATTCGCGAGTTCGACGAAAAATTCGTCACGCTATAATCGGGAATGTAGGAAAATTATTTCAAGTCGTTTTTATCGGACGCGATGTTGCAAGGATAGTACCTCGCACAAAAATGATATTCCCGAAAAATTGTGCACAATAAAAGCTCATCGCAGCAGGCTAATTCCCCGTGAAAATCGAGCAATTTTCATGCTGAGAAAATCAAAACTGTCCCCTTTTGCGCGAATTTGTGCGTCACTGCTGCTAAAAGTTTAATCTACCCATCTCAGCCGTAGACTCAACTCCTCTTTTTTTTCCTTCAAGAAGTTATATGTTCAGTATTTATGCGAGCACTCGTGATCTCACTTTTTTTTTGCCCCAAAAACAGCAAGAAAAAGGCTTGGTGAGTATTTTATATGAGTACAATACTTCTGGCAAAGGTTGGTGCGCGTCACACTTGGATAAAAAATTTATACAGGAAGAAAACCTCCACAAAGTGATTATTCAATTGCTAATGACAGTTAAAATTTAAGGAATTGGGCAGAAATTGGTTAGTAATTGGGCAGGGATTTTTTTCCTGCCGAAACTGTGTCCCAATAACCTTGGTGCGTGTCTCAACCAAGGACGCGTGGTACTTGTGTAAACATGGTACACGTCTGCAATTCTGCTATTCATTTCACACAGAGTGCAGCCACTCATCTCGCATGAAGTTCTCAGCAGTTAAATAAAAAAAAAACAGTTGAATCCAACAGGAGACCTAACAAACCCAATGTAACAAAACAATAAAACAACACCTAACCTCAATTGTAACTTTAGATTTTCAGAACCCTCTCTTGAATTCAATTTATATTGTTAATTACTTTAAGTTCTTTCAAAATAGTTGAAAGACTTGAAACTGGCGGGGGGAAATTATAGATGAACGATATTTGTCATCGTCAGACCATTTTTCGTTCGAGTGTAACCGTAAATAAGCGGAACTCAATGAACTTTACTTCAAATTATGAAGATCACTACAATACTTTCAGAGAAAAATACTGTACATAATTCTCCCACTTCATTCTATGAATGCAGCCGTCCTCAGTTCGATTCGAAATCGTAAAAGACGACAAATAATCTTCCAAATCGGTGAAACGTGGGTTACGCGAAGAACAGTTTAACCTTCGCTACGAATAGATCACACTTCAGCTTTTTTTTTTTTTGAGTAACCCAACTCGAAATGCCACATTGATCGAAATTTCATGCAAAATGACATTCTCGCGAAGTGGTCTGCCTTGAACACCAGTTTCGCAAGGGAAAAAAATCTCGGCGAGAAAATAAGTCAAAATATCTGACTGGAAATTCGAAAAATGGAGGATCTTCCAACAGCATCGCTCGTTTCCTGCACAGAAGAGCTCACCTCCGCTAGTTTGCTCCACGCGTCGAGTCCCTCAGAATTCCATATCCTGTCCGCTAAAACAGCCGCTCCAAACAGCGGAAATTTCCGGAAATCGAGCTCTTGGCCCCCCGTGCGCCGCTCTATCCGGTAGAATTCATTTCGCCTCGAACAGGATATTTCCGTCAGGTAGGAAATGAACAGGACGACGACAGCCGCTGCATGTCACAGCAAGATACAAAGGAGACGCAGGCATCAACGAAACTTTACCCTCCGGAAGATGAACCAGATGCACCGCCATGACGACACATTCGATGGGAATAGATTTTTCGAAACCTTTGACATTTGATGGATTAAAAAGAGAAAAATCACACAGTTGACGAAATTCTCAAGAATAACAGAGTAGTTTTCCTTTTCAACCACGTTTTATGATTGAACCTTAAAAAATCACATCGACGGCAACAACAAAACACACCATTCATCACTTGATTTCACAAGCTGACAACAAGCAGGCTTCACAGGAATAATGGCTCGGTGGAAACAACAAAACGCTCCATGAACTTCTTATCCGAGAATCGATGGACGGATGCTCTGTTAATGAACAAAGTCAGAGTAAGAATTCATCCACAAACTCAACCTGGGTTCAAGTACAGTATTGTACGCTATTAATCTCTCAAGTCGACAGTGTCATTGATGGGAAGGTAATTCGCTAACCGAAATAGAAACATGAAAGGTGAAACGAACAGATGAACTATTAAAAAATTGCGGTGCATTCACACTGTAACCAAGATTTTTCAAATACAGTACTGTACACTGGAAATATTTTGTGACAGTTGTACAACTTGCGTATTTAAAATTAGGAAAGCGACAAGGAAACCTTATTTCCTCGCAAAGATAGGATACACGTGACCTATCTGTGTTCTCCTCCCTTCTCCAAATTTAAACTTTTTTTGTTTTTTCAGAGAAAAAATTGTAACAGTGGTGAGAATTTGATGAAAAAAATTAAAATTACAGTGCGAACATGATGTTCATCCCAATAAAATCATTCGAGGCTCAGAAGAGGGAAGCAGCCGAAAAATAACTCATTTTTCTATCTTGTACAAATGTACAGTATCTCGACATGCAGGAAAACCTTCGCAACTTCTCACAGAGCTATTCGCAAGGCGAGCTTTTAAAAAAAACCGACAGAGAATCTATTTAAATCAATGAGATCCTGCTAATAACTTTCTTTTCTAATTTATCTTAAAATTCGAAGAATGTATAAACATTCATATTCAGGTATAAACATTCATTTCATCAACAAACCTGGCATACTGAATGATACTTTGCCGAGCATTTGTATCCATCTTCAAAATGTTCATGAAGCATTCCGCATATGAACTGGGGTCCACTGCCAGGAATCCAGTCGGATGGTCCTCCCAAGGAACGACAATATCCATCTTCGGACCTCCCGAATCGTGAGCGACAACAATAAGACCCGCAGCCATCAATTCAACTATACCTATAAAAGTAGAAACGTAAGAACACGATGGAAAAAAAGTGTACTATTTTTATTTTAGATTTAAAAATTAATGACAAATAATGAAATGATGAAATACTAACTGATCCCAAAGTGTTCATTCCACATGGTGTGGACACCGATTAAAGCTTTCTTGAGAATCGCTTCCATCTCCTCCAGAGGCACATTGAGCTTGAATTCGACCGAATCTCTGATGCCCAACTTCACAGCTTCTGCTTCCAATGCCGACACACGCTCGGCATCAAAATTATCTCTGCAACCACCTATCAACACCAGCTTCGGCTCGGCTTTCAGTTTGTCCACCGGTTCTTCATTCAAAGCGCGTAAAAACTCTCGAAAAGCATTCAACTGTAAGGAGTGGTTCTTTTCTGGTCGAAATTGCGCAACGGATACGATTACGCAAGTATCCTGAGAATGGTCACTCGCAGCATCAAAATTGATTCGACGAAGTTGAGAAAATCTTTCTGGATTGCACGGCGGATGCACGAGTGCCGCGCGGGAACGCATTCCAACGTCATTCCACCACAGCTGGTCCACGTGACCTTTCGTCCACGAGGAATTCACCATACATACGTCAGCTTTACGCCCCATCCAGCCGTAAATTCGGGCGAAAAGGACGTAATAGCCCTGCTTTAACTCGCACAGAATTCGATTCTTGGCAATCCATTTTCGATTATTATGGGCTACTTCACGCCCGTCAAGTTTGGAGATCATATCTGAGCTGATGGTCGGATAGTGAGTGTAACACCCAACTTTGCAGCCACCCAGGTAACGGAACAGAGGATACGTAAAAGCGTATCCCATTGTGTCCAAATAAATATCTGGAAAAAAAATAATAATAATGATGGGATACAAATCATCGACTTACGATCACTTGAGTAAAAATTGCATGAAAAAGCTTATTCTTACGAACAGAAATAAATCTCTCATTATCAAGACTTCAGAGAAATTTTCTTCATGTGACAGAAACTGCTGTGAAATTTAAGGATTAGGGTAAATTATCGACAGCCCATTGTATGCACTGTGTGACGGTAATCAGAAACAACGTTCCTCATTAAGCGTTTTCAAAGAGCACAATGGTGACAATATTACTTACATTTGATAGGTTTAGTGTGTTAGCACCTTTCTAACTTAGTAATGTATTCAGATATGGTTTTAATGTCACGTGTTTTAATGTACCAGACATTCCATAAAATTTAAGATTCAAGTCATTCATTAAGGAAATGATTAACAAAAAGCGAACGCGGTATTCAGCTTTTGTAGGAGGGTTCGGCATACATCCATTTTGCACGATCATCGACATTGAAAAACTCATGACGCCACAAGATTTATACATTCTTATTGTTCCAAATAAAAGGCACACTCTAAAAGTTTCGGTGCGCTTCTCATGTTTTCTCTTTTAAAATTCTTCCCTTTCGATCAGGTTCCAAGCGACAATTTACTTTTTAATCAACAAAAAATATTGCGTTCATCAGCATTAGCATTGTGAATTTTACGGAGATTTGCATACGAGGAATACTGTACATGTTTGCTTGTACAGCACATGGAACATTACCAACACTACTGCGTTTGAAATTTTGGAGAAAAGAGCCCAACATGCATCAGGATTATCTGCGGCTCGGCTTACGAACTGAACAAATCACTAGAAAATCAACAGGCTTTTTCAAAAATATGAGGAACAAACATCTCACCCGGTACACATCGCAGTAATGCCTCCATTCCAAGTACCATTGACCCTAGGCTCTGGCCCAAAAGCGTGAATACAGGATACGGAGTTGCTTCAACGAAGTTTCGCATTCGCAATCGAACAAATCGAACTGCGGGCTTTGGTTTTATGTTAACACCGAAGCGGAGTGATGCTCGCGCCAGAATTTCTTCGTCAGCTGCTTTATCTCCGGTATAAATACGAAAAGAGCATTGCGCGTACCTAAGAAGACAGAATCATGAATAAAACGAAAAATTGTAGAGGGACTTTTAATGTTCTAACGTCTTCTGAAGCGCTTGAATAGCACACCACAGAACGCGTTCACCTCCACCTCCCGCATCGCAGTACGGATGGAAAATACCGATGACGATCTTCTTTCCTCCACGAAACTTTCTTCTGAGCTCAGAAATCTGCAAGTAACCTAAGAAATAAAGTACTTCTGTTCTTTGTGGCACAAAATGTTCGCTCGCTCACCAATCGCAGACTCCAACCAAAAAGCATCAACATCAACAACGCTTTCGTCAAAAAAAGCACAATGCCAGTGATCGGCGACAGAATCCACACTAGAGAAATTCGATCTTCTTCCATGATGAAACGTATCAAGGTGAGAAATACGAGAAAAACTTCACCAAAATTCCATCTGGAGAAAAATCGTGAGACATATTTTTTTTTTAATTCTCGAGTTTCCAGGATAAGAACATAAACGAGGAAGCGAAAAAACTCCACCTTGAAAATTGTATTCCTGAAAACAAAACCCCTTTCGAGACAATAAAAGCTCTTAAAATAAACGATTAGAACAAGTCTTCATCGCAAAGAAACAATAAATGCAGAACGCGGAACATCGTACGACAACCAGTGAATGCGGTCGAACTGAATCGTGCCACGCGTCGAAGTGCAAATAAACGTGAACCAAGGTCTGAATTCTTTAAAGACCGAAAAACAAGATGCAGCAGTAAAAAAGATCAACCACATTTCGTGCGAATAGGATTAATCGCACAACCTCGTTTCCCATACTAAATGGTAAAAGGATGACGGATTAAATCGTCGATTTTAAAAAGAAACGATACGCTAGGCTAAGGTTTTTTGCCCGCAATAAGCTTCAGTGTTTCATACGCTGAGGAGCGAACGGCACTCTATATTTTGAAAAATACGCGCCGGCGAATTCCTTCCAAGAGTTGATCCTTGTCCGTGATAATACTCCCGTTGATCGCGATGAGCAAAATGACCGAATTTTTTAAGCAAAAGTGCTCACAGAAAATATATTCTCTGCTAGACATTCTCCGCTAGGCATAAATGCTAGGACGCAGCCAAATTTTGTAAATGAAGCATTTTGATGTAGCGAAACGCGTAAGCCAAGGAAAGCTTCATCAGTTATCGCGGGATCTGACACATTCGAAAAACCCGAAGCACCTTTCCAACTTTTTCCGCGTGAAAAATTTCTCAACAGCTCGAGTCTTTTATCAACATCTTCGATTCCTGAACATCATACGAATTGGAATGACACGCCTTGAATTCAATTGGGCGCACGTGAAAAAACGTCAGCTAATTTGTCCGACGAGTCCCCCTCGACAGCAATACAATCAAAATATATACTTGCGGGTACACAACATCCAAGGAAGAACGCGAGTTTGAAGTCCAGAATGGTGGTCTCCAACTTTTATAAAAGCTGGAGCGTTTTCGAAGGACCGGTCTTCCGCATGAAGCCAAGTCCTCATTGTTTTAGTTGAACGTAGTTCGCAGGAAATAATCCGTACTGCCCCTTGCACCAACCTCTCCACCACCCTTCGTCGATCTGCATGAACGAAGTACAGTGTTGCATTTTTGAACGATAAGAAGCAATATCTTCCCTCAAAAGATACAAAAATGAGTTCAACGAGAATGTTTGCTAATGATTTTGAAACTCAGTATCGTTTTCTTTCAATAAATTATTTGACGCTGTAAAATTTCAATGATACACTTGATCACGGTCCGGATATCTTCTTATATCATTCTTCTAAAAGTTGCTTCGTTTATGCGATGATCACGACATGGTTCCGGAAACAGCACGTCAAAATAAGAAGAGTTGCTAAATGAACTTTGAGTGAAAAGGTGGACTCACTTGTTCTATATCCGTAATTTCATCATCGGGATCGAACGAAATTTCATCTTCATCACCTGCGGGCAGGAAAAAAAGTGAGGAGACTGGCTGACAAACCTCAAACTTTTGAAAATAGAGCATCTGAAGAATACTGTATAGATGTACAGTATAGGAGATCGCGCTTGAGATCTTCACTTTGTTAATCGAAATCGACACGGGATGACGGTAGAATACTTTTTACATTTCAATGTTATGGTAGATAATGATACGGTAAAATGTCGATATAACGAAGCTGTTAGGACCTGAAAGGAAAAACTAGAGACAATAGATAAGAGTAGCGAACCTGCTTGATAATCGTACAAAGCGATCGCAGTTAGACCGGACGGAGCTTCATCTTCAGGGCTAAATTCTGCTTGTCGAGCGCGTTCAGAAGCTTCTGCAGCTTCTCGCTCCTTCCGCCTCGCTTCCATCCTCGCGCATTCCTCGCGTTCTTCTTCTTCCTTTTGTCGCCGAAGTTCTTCTCTCAATCGCTCTTCCTCTTGTCGCATCAATTCCTCTCGTTTCCGTTCACGTTCAGCTTCTTCAAGCCCACGTCGGCGCTTCTCTTGTTCTTCGGCTTCACGACGAAGCTTTTCTGCCTCCTCCGATTCACGACGACGCTTCTCTAGCTCCTCAGCTTCACGGCGACGCTGCTCCAGCTCCTTCGCTTCGTGGCGTAGCTTCTCTTGCTCCTCTGCTTCACGACGACGCCTTTCTTGCTCCTCCGCTTCACGGCGACGCTTCTGTAGCTCCTCTGCTTCACGATGACGCCTTTCCTTTTCCTCCGCTTCACGACGATGCCTTTCTTCCGCTTCGCGACGACGATTTTCTTTTTCCTCTTCCTCCGCTTCACGGCGTCGGATAGCTTCTTGCTCCGAACGACTTCGTTCTTCGGCATCACGTCGAAGTTTGTCTTCAGATTGCTGACGCTCTTCCACCTCTCTAGCCTTTCGAGCACTTTCCAAAGCCTCTTCCTCGGCAGCAGCTCGATGCCTGGCTCGTTCCATCTCTTCACGATCTCGTTCAGCACGCTCGAGCTCCCGTTGTTTGGCTACTTTCCGCCGCGCTTCCTCAACTTCAGCCTTTTCTTCATACAATCGTCGCTGCTTTTCGGCAGCCAAACGTTTCGCTTCTTCTTCTTCTTTCTCTTTGGCGAGATTTTCAAACTTTGCCTTCAGGCTCGAAGCTTTGACACCGGCCGTCTCAGGCTTGACTCGCTCGTAGCTGGAACCGACGCGTTCTGGTTCTTCTTCAAATGTGTGTGCATTTTTGTCCAAACGATCGTTCTGGACACCGAATTTTCCACCAAATCCCTTATAAACATATGAAAATTGCGGTAAAAATGTCATTATCGCATGAAAAAAATGTTGATAGCCTATGAATAAAATTTTATTCTTACTTTAGAATGATCAATCTGACTCTCGTGCATCTGGGTTCTTTCAAAATGATCGTATCCAACAGCGCATTTATCCTGTCGATCCGACTGGACTCCAAATTTACCTCCGAACCCTTTCGAGTAATCTACGAATGGAAGAAGTGAGTGGCTGTATTTCATGATTCGAAAAAAAAAAAAAAACCCTAGGATCGAACGAGTCCTCACCTTTTTGCGACTCATGCTTTTCTACTTTCTCTATATGATGCCAGCTCAAGGCAGATTTGTCCTGACGGTCTTTCTGGACGCCAAACTTGCCACCAAATCCAACTGAATAGTCTGTTTGCAAAAGTCAGATATTAATTCCACTGATCTACATCACACAAGTACACCGTCCAAAATGCCCTGGAACCACACTGAAGTAGTATGATAAGACGTTAGTTTGGTAATGCACATTACCCTCACCACAAAGCCCTATCACAGCAATTCGTTCACAGTCTATGGACACAGGCTAAGATCGAGAAAATTCTTCGCTTGAAAAGGACTTCCCGTGACCAAACTATCACACTCCACCAACTGTTCAGGATGCATTCCTGAACTGATTTAAGGTCAAACAATAATTTTAGAACGATATAATACGGATGTTCACCAGTATCAGTGAGTCAATGGAACATCACGTCGTGTGGGTGTGGAACAAGGAGAACTACTATTTACAGGAAGAAATAAATGACTTGATTTTCTAAAAAGGAACATGCCGATAAAAATTCGTTGTTAGTTTAGATCCAAGAAGACCCTGGAACCTGACAGCCATTCTTCAAGAATCAGAATCCGCTCACAAAAAAATAAGATGACCCAGAATTGAATATTTCACAGCGTGAGATCGACATGTTAGAGTAAGTTTAGGGAAAAGATACTTATAACTTCACAGCAACCATCCGTTGGCAAAAACAAACTTAAACCTATTTACCCGTCTGGGAACTGTGTTTGGATGGTTTTTCGTAATACTCCCAGCCTACAGCACTTTGATCCACACGGTCCATCTGCAATCCGTACTGCCCACCAAAACCAACTTTGTATCCTGAATACGCCAAAGCATGCTTCATCACACAAGGGCATAACCACCTTTCTCGTCGATAGAATTATTACTGTAGATTTTTGCATAATTCAAACGATTCCACGTTTTCTCCCACATTTACATTCAAGCAAACGTAAGATCTATCACGATCAACGTTGAGCGGGAACCAAACGTATCCTTTTATACAGCAACATATTGGCCCAAAATTTCCATAAAAAGATCATCGCGAAAAAAATCCATTGGCGTTCAATAAAATATAATTAATTGCCCCTTAATATCTTGTATACGAAAATGAAAAATCTAAATGCAAAAATCCCGTAAATGTATCCTCACCTGTTTGCGATTCATGTTTTTCAATCTTTTCTACATGATCGTAACCGAGGGCGGACTTATCTTGTCGATCCTTTTCCACGCCGAACTTTCCTCCAAATCCTGACGCATAGTCCGTTTGAGAAGCATGTTTCTCAACTTTCTCTTTATGTTCCCATCCAAGCGCACTCTAATGGAAGAAAAGCGAATCACGTGGCTTTGCTTGCGATTATGACTAAAGCGAAATGCGGTAATGCAAACTTTGTCTTGACGGTCTCGTTGAACACCGTATTTCCCACCGAAACCAGAGGCATAATCGGTCTGAGAGGCATGTCTCGTCAGCTTTTCGATATGGTCGTGCCCAACTGCACTTTTGTCCATCCTACGAACGAATCAAACAGACTTTAACGCGACATTTCCCAATCAATTGAACACAATTTTCTAGAAATATGTACGAGTTGCGTAAGATTTCCGCAAAATCTATTGATTGATTGATTGATGTAAAAGCTTTATATACCGCTTTTCAGCGTTCACAAGATTCACAAAGATTTTCCACATCCCCCCAAATTTTCTATCCCGTTCTCTTCCAATAAGAAACTCAGAACTGTAATGCCAAAGTAAGGTTATCCTCCGCTTAAGCCTTGAGAGCAGCTCTGTAAATATGCTGGACAGGGTGGAACAATTTCAAACACCAAGGCAACAAAAAGAATTTTGCATATCATCGTGAGAACTCATATCTCTAACCGGTCCGTTTCAACGCCGAATTTTCCACCGTAACCCATGGACGCCTGTGGTCCAGCTTCAGACTGTTTTCTCTTGATGGCGGCATCATCCTTGGCCACTTCAGCGCGCATCTGCTCCATACTGCAACATAAACCAAACCTGCGATAAACCCTGCGCAGTAATTCGCTCAGAAATTGATAACTCACTCAATAGCTCCAATACTACGTCCGGATCCTTGAACAGTTTTTGAACCCCATCGTTGCTCTTGTTCGGAAACGTCGTTGATAAAATCTGGGTCTGTTTCCCAGTCATCGTCATTATTAGCACCGTTATTTGGCACAGGCGGGGCATTTTTCACACCAACCGCCGCTTTCCACATTTTGATTCACGATAATACACTTGTCAATTGGAGTAACAGATTCGCGCATCAACAATACCTGCTTGGAGTCGGACACGTAAAAATCATCACACGGGAACTTTGCCGCATTAGTAAAAGCAATAAGCTCCATATCAGTTAGCTGTTCCGAAAGGAAGGCCTGATCAAAGCTTCCTGTTTATTTTCAATTATGTGCACCAAGGACCATAAGTCTGAACAGGACTTCCGCACAATGGAATTATTCACAGTATCAACGAATTCTTCGGGAGTTTAAATCGTCCAATGAAACGAAGACATGGAAACAAGTGCGTGTGCGGTTAAAGCGAACAGAGACACGGTGAGAAACAATTGAAATAGCATCCCATATCCGTTGAACAATGATTAGCTCCAAAAATCGCATTTTTTCATCTCAGCTTCGTTTAGACATTACTTAGGCACGTGATCAATGATCCACAGCAAGGATGAAATGCAAAATCCGTGAATCACATCCGCTTTCCCCAACGCATGGTTATCCGCATAGTGACGCAATCTGCATGAAATATAGATGAAACGGATTACATATTAACATTATATTAAATTAATGAGAAAATTGGAAAAAAATGGTCTTTGCTCTAATACATTTTTTGAATAACTTCGATTTGCAAGAAGCAATTCAGTGATTTTTGAGGACGCACTTGTCACAAAAGGAAATGCAGAAGTATACATCACGCAATAAAAGACTTCGATACAGGATCCATCCAAACTTGAGTATAGTAATTCAGGTACAAAACTACCACTCATTTCAAGTGATATCGCAGTTCCCCTACAGACAACGTGTTTTAAATAATTTCCCCCGAAAATAAAGCCAGGGCCTATTTTGTTAATAGGGTGGATTCTATTTTAGAACAAAAAACAAGAAAATTGATGGCAGAAGATTGGAAAGACGAAAGAGTGTCGAATATTTGTACATGGGAAGCATTGTGTCGTGGAATCTTCCAGGCATATCAGCGGCGGAAGGGTTAAGATAAGGAAAGTTAAGAGGGCTCGGAGAAAGATTGAATTGATTTCGCAGCTAAACTTACTTATTTTGCATTTGTTTCTTTCTCATTCGGATATCACATTTTCAAAGAAGCGGTCTGAGCTTGTTCACATGTTAGGATTTTCGGAGGATTCATTTTCGTGAGATGATATCAGGTATACAAACTGCATTTTTGCAGATACTGTACCAAGATTAAAAACTTAAAAAACTATACTTACTCGACTTCCACCCCCCGCGCCTTCAAAGCGTAATACATGGAGTACCCTTGACTAGGGGGAACCCTCAGATCATTGTCACCGATTTGCAACAAAACTGGGCAGCGAATTTTGTCAATGTGTGCGAAGGGCGACATGGCCATCATGCGAGCGTAACTATCTGCAGACAAAGGTCCCTTGTCCTGCTTGTACTCCAATCCAGACTCAACGTACACCCAATCAGGAATGTCGGTTACTGCAAGCATCGCAGGAAGATTTGTCACCGGATTGCATGCAACCACGCATTTGTAGAAATCCTAAATATAAAATTCAATACACCAAAATGTCAGAATACAATTTTTTTAAATTACGAAAAAAAAGTGCGCGAGGACCAACCGGATACTGTCCAGCAAGATGAGAAACCAGAAATCCACCATGAGAGCCACCCATCAGAGAGATACGCTTTGGATCCAAAAGCTTGTATTTCTCTAGCACGTGAAGAACAGTGTGATGGCAATCACCAACGTCTAGCGTTCCAATTCGACCAAGCAATGCTTGAACGTAGTCTTCCCCACACCCCAGGGAGCCTCGGTAGTTGACTCGAAGTACAGCGAACCCTGAAAGAGTGAGATAATATTCAAGTACACGATCATTGAAAAAAAAGCTTCGCAAATGTTTACCGAGCGAGAGCAAGACGCCAGCAAAAACAGAGTAGGAATCAAGATCGTTACTGTGAGGGCCACCATGTAACATACACACTAGCGGAACAGAAAAATCGTCCGTTTTGGATCCTCCAGGCAACAATAGCAGGGCATTCAGTCCTGGAACCGACACATCACCTAGAAAGACATCATGTAGAGTTCTACACACGAAAGATTAAATCAAAACGCATTTACTATCGTTCGGAATTTCAATGGGATAGAGACGATGAATTTCGGCATCCCTGATCAACGCGGGCCGGCGATCCTCACGGGAATAGATTCGTTTCCAATCAACATTTGATGAAGTCGATGGGAAGTATCCAGCCTGCAAATACGTCACAGATTACGTTCAAAAAATAACTAAATATTATAGCTGTCCATACGTAAAGCTCCGCAGGAGTCAACGAGTCCTTCCATGAAGCAAGAAGTAAGCCAGTGTCGAAGTCGACATCGTGGACTATCCATGATCCATGCCCCGCAGGGGTAGAAGAGCAATCGGTCAGTCGTCTAATCCTCCCAAAAGAGCTTCCTGCCATTTAAATAATTTCAGCCATTTAAATCAAATCGACCAAATGCAGTTCACCATGAGCTTACCTTCTAGATCCACAGCATAAATATGAGTACAATGCAAATACATCGACGTGAAAATCGCACACAAGTTATCCCCATCTCGAGCAAAACAGCGCTTAGGCACGAAGGATTCTCCACAAAGCCCGGCAAACTTCGTTTGTTCGTCCATTCGCTTTGTCTCCGGAATCACGGTCCTGAGCTGACAGTGCATTATGAAAAATTATGAAATAAGTGTTTACTCGTGTATTCGTTTTTTCCTCAAAACTTAAGGAAGTCTGCAGTTGCACTTGCTGCATACCTTATGACCTGCGTTTGATTACTTTTGTCCTGTGTTTCCCAAACCGTGGTCCGCGGACCGGTGCCGGACCGCAGACATTTTTTGCAGCTTAATTTCTTTTCTCTTCTTTTTTTCATTATCTGAGATACCTTTCTTGAAGCCCACGATTTTAATTTTGCAAAAAAGCATAAATGTTTTAAATGCCTGCCATAAAGTCTTTCAAGCAAAACTTTTTTGAGGCTGAAAATTTGTATGAAATTTTGACGGCCAGCAGAAAATTTTCGGGAAATTTGACGGTCCACGAGAAATTTTATGAAAATGTGCCGATCCGCGGGCTCAAAAAGGTTGGGAACACTGCTATTGTTGCATTCATAAGGCGTCTCTTTCAGGTACAGTAGTTACATTGAATCTTGATGAAAGGCGACATAATTTTCATTTTTGTCCCCCATCCACGAAACACGTAGGTGCGCCTTACAAACGGGTAAAAAATAACACTGAGGTCAAGAAAAATTCAATTTCGCATTCGTTTCTAGTGAAAATATCAAGAGGCACACGTTTTATTGAAGGGTTAGCGAAAATCGAAGGAACGCGGGTTTTCTGTACTCCTCATTTCTGACACAACGACGTACGGTAATAAAATTGAGTTAACTCGCAAATACGGTAAGCATTTACAGTCTTTTTCAATGCAGGAGAGAAGCTGTCCCTCGCTTACCTCTTTAGTTTCAAGATTCATCAAATACATTGACGATGTTTTGTAATGCGTTCCTCCCAATTTCGACGCAATAAAACACAGGTGCTTTTTGTCCGGAGACAATCTCAGATTTCGCACAGCGAAATCGTTCAAAGATTCAATGAAGTCCACTCTCAAGGCATCTTTGTCAATTCGGCCATCTGTAAAAAAATAAAATAAAAATATTAATTCAACTCATTGAATACATATTTTACGCCCAAGCATACGAACCTGTCAAAAATTTCAGGGACATGACATAAACCCTGTTTCTCCGGTTGATACAGAACTGCGCACCAAGTTTGAAAGGTTTCGGATCGTACACCACACCGACCAAATTATTCGGACCAGCCACGACGAATTCCGCCGGACACAGCGACTTGTCCCCGAAAGCATCTTCAGGAATAACGTCGATTGTGCTTAGTTCGATATTCGCCACAACCAAGACCGACTCCTTCTTATCATCAAGCTGCTCCCCCCAACTTTGAATGTAGAGCGATCCTTTTCCCTAGCATCACATACAAATTTGAGAATATTCCGCCCAACAAACTTGACGAAGTTGGAATCTTTTCTCAGTTCAAACTTCAAAGAGAGGTTCGTCAGACACAAGATTGACAAAACAGTACTGTACTAACTTTCATAATGCAAAAAATATTTTGAGCAGGAAGAGTGACGAGCAAAATTTCACTTTTTTGGCGAGAGGGTCAGCATCTCCTTTTTTCTCCGCATCTTTTGCTTTTGATGCATCCGTATCCGAGAAGAAACTGGTGCCTTCGTCTCGACGACGTTCGGATATGTAGAATAAGTGCTTTTCATCATCAGAGAAAAAAATCCCTCCGAAGCGATCTGTAATTAAGATTGACACGGTATCAATGATCCAAAAACGAAACTAACAGCTCATCATCGCATTAAAGCGTGGTACTGTATATTGATATTAAATCGTACCATCGTCATAAATCGGCCCATGAAGGTTTCGAGCTGTCAAGTCAAACACGACGTCTTGCCGTCCGTCACGCTCCGACCATATTTCGAGAAAATGACTCGCCTTCGAGTTTCCTGCTTTGCTTATTTCTCTGACCACAGCCTTTTTCGCCCCTGACGGAGAATGGCAGATTCGGCGAATCCTTGTTTTCAAAATCGTGTAAGCTCGAAGTATTCTTCCTTAATTTCAAGATACGAATCTCACCCAGCTGCATTCATAGAGACTTTAGAATTCATTGCTTCCAGATTTTCATCAACGAAATGTTGGCGAGAATTCCGCAACGACGCCTCCTCTTTGGGACTACCGAACGTCCACTCCGACTCGAGTATGAAACGCTTTCGCGAATACCGCTCCGCAATTCGAAATTTGGACAAAACCGGAAATGTTAGCGCCTCATAGCACCGGATCAAGTTTTCCATGGCTCTTGGAGCACGAAGATTTCTCAGAACAGGACAAAAAAGCACACGCGCCCGTACCTGAATAAAGATAATCGAATAAATTGTAAAATTTGAAAGCTACACATTCCACTCACGAAACAGATATTCTTCAGTACGAACTGGTAAACAAAGCATTTAAAAATCAGGATCATCACGGTACTTTTCCTCCGACAGGGTTTTCGCACCATCGAATGTTAATGATTCAAGTTGAACTTTTCTTCTTCAAAGCAGCCATGAATTCTTCATCGCCCTCTTCTGTGAAAATCGACATTGTATATGGGTGTTTCAAGGATACAGGATGAACAATATGACCCGAAGTCACCTTCTGCATCATGACAGATTTCTTCCTCGGATTCGTCATCATCTTCGACGCCAAAACGTAAATGCATTTCCGAGGATAACTTTTTGCAGAGCTCGTCGGTTGAACTTTGGGGTTCTTCACTAACATCAGATTCGAATTTCGCCATGCCACTTCCCTCCTGTTTAGATCGCAGAGCTTTCAACCGTTCGTATTCTGGTCGATACTCTCTAATGAACCAAAAATCTTTAAAGGAGACCACCGCATTCAGAGGTGGTAGAATCAATCCAAAACCACCAGAAACGTAAAACTCACTGGAAATATTCTTCACGAGCCGAATCGATTGCACAGATGAACTCATCCAGGCCATTTCCGGTCACTGCAGAGACTCCTACCGCCCGCAGATTTTTATAAAATTCTTCTAAAGCCAAAGCAAGGGATCTCGAAAGATTTGAAACGTAAGAAGTTTCCTTGTCCAGAGCAGATGAAAAACTTTCCCAATCCTTCATCCAATCCTTTGCATATTTGCAATCTATGACGTCATTCTGGGGGAGGAAAAAATGTACGTCAAATTCGTACACATGACATTCGTTTGCTATCCCTCTAAATTGACAGCCGCCGGACCCGTACTTCGAAAAGACTTAGTTTCACTGCAGGAAAAATTCTTACACAATATTCCGAAATCCCGTAATGCACGAAGAACAGGGCTTCTTTTCATATTATGAAGAAACGAAGGGTTTCGAATATAATTCCTCTCCTTGCTAAGTGCTCGAAGGTGGTCAAGCTGATTTACATTCTTTTTCGGAGGGTCGAGACGCTTTATGCCAGTTTACGTATGTTCTCAAAGTTTACCATTAGACATTAATCTTCGATGGGGAATAAAACTCGACTGGTTCGCGAACACCGAGTAATTGAAGAGTTTCAGACTGTAAATCGACAGACAACTAGCATCTAAAGACGGACTCTTCCAACGACGATTTATTCTTTAAAATGAACAACATAGATGTTCTCATCGGATTTTTTGTTTTATTTTCATTTTTTGAATTCTGGAATTTAATTTTCTTAATAACTGGGCGCTAGTCGGCAACAACCTCCCTCTGGACAGATTTTTCCTTCTGAAAATCGTTGCAGAAAGCGCATCAATATTTCATTTCGCGAGGATGTGCATTGAAGGCGTTTGACGGAGAATAAGGCGGGCTTTAAATTACATCAAAATAATAGACCGCGCTGAAACTGTCCGAAGTTTACCACAGAAACGAACTTCACTCTTTAGAATATCATGAAGTAACAAAATCCAAGAAAGCGGAAATAACTCACTTTGTTCAGGGCTACGATGAAGGGAAGCTTTGCGTTGTATAAAATTGAGCATGCATACAGCATATTTGACATGAATGTGACTGGTTTTGCACTTCGAACAACGTCAGCTACATAAACAACGATGGTGGGGAAAAACGCAGCCAATGCCTCGGTGATGATGTTTCCAGAAGCAGACCAGGTGAACACCTCTATTTGACCAGGCGTATCGATAATAACGTATGGACAATCCACGGACTGCGCTCGACGTTCGATCAACTTCAGAACTTGATCAAATTTGGTTGCGAACATGTTGAGAGATGTTACGATCCCACCGTTCGGACCGAGACCGTACTGCTTCATGACTTCCTTGTACTTCACCGTGTCTCGAATGTCAATGTTGCACGGATAAGGAAGCATTCCAATGCAAGCGGGATCGAGATTGACAACATATGGCAGCTTTTGTTTCATGTGCAGTGTTGTGATCAGCCGTTGAACTAGAGATGTTTTCCCCGAACCCGCCATTCCCAACACGATAACAACCGTCGGCATCTGGGACAAAGGTTTTTTCTCGCCTTCGCTATTGCTCGAAGTTGCACCGTCACATTTTTCCGCCATTTCGACGTGAATCAATTCGCAAAATTGTGTCTGCTCAAGAAAAAAAAATAGTAATACCACACGGTCACACGCAAAACATCCGCGATGAACACGAAATGCACTTCATCAATTCCAGACAAATGATTTTTAAAAAATGTGAATTTTAGAATTTTACCCAATTGTTTCATCACTTTTCCGAGGTTTCGATATCCTGAAGAACGGAAAATTTCGTGAAGATACTAGTAATAGAGTTGAATGATGGTCGCTTTTCGCTCGTTGATACGAAGAATGAGTAACACAGAATGCACGAATAAACCAATTCCAATGACTAAACCTCAGATATGCAGATAAACTTGAACAACGCCTGAATCTCACATGAGCTTCAAGCATCAAATTGTGAATATCTAATAGAATACAGTATAGATCCCGACGTCTGGAAGTGAAAAAAAGATGAGAACAGAAAATCAATCGAAATTACTTCATCTTCACTAAAAGAAACTTCCATCGCAACGAAATAACACGCGGATCGACGAACGAAATTACAGTACACTTCGGGATCACATCCCACCCGCCTGCCGTTGAAGAGCGTTTGCGAATCGACTAGCGATAGCAAGCGACACGTCGATAAATCTGTCGACACAGTTGGTAAAGCACACTTCTGTTCTGCTGTCGAGCTTGACGCCTGGCTTACCATCCATGCACTTATCCCAGCAAACATCATGTAACTTGTTTATCTGGAGAAAAAATTCAAGAACATCTCACAAATATTTTACTGTACTTTAGTAGATTAATCGCTTCGACTCGATGCTTTCGCGAAATAAATTTGTTTTTTTCGAATTAAAAAGTTGCAATGCACATTGACGTAAAGCAAAATCGCCTGATTTTACCTGAGCCTGAAACGCAACCCGTTGCTGCTCAAAGGCCAGAAAATTCCGAAGCTCCGAATCCCCTTGATCCAAATCCCCCAAAGAGTCAATCGGTGAGCTCCCAGATGAATCAAAATCCATGTTGACACAATTTATAGAATTTCTAAAGGATTCAGAGAAACTTCGTCAAATAAATGTAACAAAGGAAAAGGAAAACTGACAGCCGAGTTCAAGAAAAAAACGATCTCCTTTTATCAGTAACAAAAGCTCCAAGAACAGTACGCGCTACTTCTTCAATCTTTGCCGCTTCAAAGGCTTGATCTCGTCCATTTCACCACGCAGAATCCACGCTTTCCGTTTATTTATTTCTGTTTTCTCCTCAAAGCCTTCGTTCATCAAGTGCACTTCGGACTCGCGGCGCAACACTGAAACTTGAGTCAAAATCTTGAGTGATTTCCGGTCTGGAACTCTGCGCTCTTCCATTTTGATTCCTATCAACTTTTCGATTGAGTGAAGATGAATGACGTCTCGATTAGGATTCATGAGAGTAATTGCAGTTCCGTCTCGTCCAGCTCGTGCAGTTCGACCTACTCTGTGAATGTAATCCTTCGGTTTCTCCGGTATTGAATGATTGATGACTAAATCGACTTGCGGGATATCCAACCCTAGGAACACGCACCATTCGTTAGACGGTGACCCTTCACGAACTAAATCAATGCAAAACGTACCTCTGCTTGCAACATCAGTTGCGACCAAAACTTTCGATTTCAACGATTTGAACTGGGAAAGCGACGAGAGACGCTGACTCTGCTTCAACTTCGAATGCAGAGGCACACACGAAAATCCCAACTTCGCCAACATCATGGAAATCACCTGACATTCCCTGTTTAAAAACAGTTATATGGCTCAAAAAATGTATAATTGACTTAAACCTTACTTGCAAGTTCTAGTGAATATCATCGCCGATCCATGCTCGTTTTTCTCGCGGAAATCGAGCAATATCTGCACCATCAATGCTTCTCTCACGTCTCCACCAGGAGGTACGAGGACGTACTTTTGATTCAACGAAGCTACGGTTTTAACCTCGTTTTCTTCGGCTGCGACGTGTTCGGTCCAGAACATTGGTTCAAGATTTGCATTACCAGAGCTTGTCAATTGCTTCACACGCTTGATGGAATCGGTCATTGTAGCACTGAACATCAGCGTTTGTCGCTTATCGGGAAGGATTTTGAAAATACTCGCCAGCTAAAAAATTTATAGTGGGGAAATAATGAACCATACTTTAAAAGATCATCTGCAACATTCTCACGAAAAAAAGCTCCACAATCGGCCTGCAAAATATGGTTTTTGAACGGAATTATCCTTACAACGTAATAGGAGAGCAAGAACGTTTTTCAGAAGGACGATAAAGTGAAAGCTTCAGGATGTTCTAAATATATGAAGCAGATAATTTCTGATACTGGCTCCAGCGGCAGGTTATCGAAGAAAATGGAAGTGCGTATTACTTGAATTACAGAGGGAGCAGTTTCACAGTACAATTTATATCGTTCCTTTTTACTTCATATCTGAGTTCAACTCATCGCTCTTTCGCCGGTCATGAGTATGATCTTCTCTCTTCACTCCCACGTTCAAAATCAACGTTTCGAATGTTTCAGAATATTGATACTGTACCTCACAAATAAAAATAGCTAAAATTTCAACATTGAAAAAGTTGAACCAAACTAAGCAGCTAAAAGATTGAAACTTGAAATTCAAACTCAACTGGAAACTTCCGTGTTTTCACGTTTTTCTGGTCGCACTTAGTTCGAATCAAATGTTCACCAACTGTTTCATTAATTTTTCGATCATCATTCTCAATACATCATTTAAACATTGGATCACTATGCCACTAGGGCACCAATCCCGATGCGACACATTTTTTTAGGAAAATTTGCGGCCTTCGTCTAAGCGTACTGCATGAATATGTTAGCCAGAACGACAGAATATAGGTTCAGGATGGATATGCTAGCAGAGAACAAGATTTGCGAGGATTGTAGAAAAAAAATGCTCCGATCAATCAAACAAACAAGAAACAAAAATCCACACTCTTAAAAAATGAATAAAACACGGACAAGATATTAGAGAAACGCAGGCGAAAATTCACTCACATCTTCGTCGTATGCGCCATCAACAAGCCGATCGGCTTCATCCAATACGACAAATTTAAGATTTTCGAACGACACCACGCCAGAGCGTATATGGTCCGCGAGACGTCCCGGCGTCGCAACAACGACATGAGGACGGTTCGCAAGGGCTGTGCCTTGCAGGATGATGTCCCGTCCCCCGGTCACAACTTCACAGCTAATCCCAATCGGTTTCCCTAAGGCAATGAACTGGTCACAAATCTGAAAATGAATCGAAGGTAGATCAGATGTTCACCTTACACCTAACACTTTAAAAATAACGATTTTTTCACTCACTTGAAAAGCCAACTCTCTCGTTGGGGTGAGAACAAGTGCATAGATTCCATAGGGATCATTCGATAGCTGATGGAGGATAGGCAAAGCAAACGCCAGCGTTTTTCCTGAACCCGTTTTCGCACATCCGATACAGTCCTTCCCATCCATAATTGCTGGGATACAATTAAGTTGTACTGGAGTCGGACTGACCAACCCTTAGAGGCAATCGACCATATATACTACAGTTCACACGAACACACACACACACATTCATATAAACACGCACGCAAAGAAAACTTGATTTTTTAAAATTTCGATGATAAGAGGACGAAGGGTTCAAGTTAAACTTTGTATCCCATAGCGGCGCGCTCAACTTTTTTCTTTCGCACGACGTCCAAGTTTCTGTCCCTCCAATTGCTTTTTTTCAGTTTGATGGGACGACTGCCAACGTATTTTCCGTTCATTTCTCGAACGGCTTTCGCATAATCCTTCGGGTCTTTGAAACTAACGAACCCATAGCCTTTGGATTTATTCGTTCTTTTATCCTTCACAACTTTTGCTCTGGTGAACGACGGATATTTCGAAAAAGTCCGCATCAACACGTCGTCATTCACGTCGTTACCCAAGTCTCCACAAAACAATCGGAAGTCATCTGGGTCCCATTCATTCAATGAAGTGTCATCCCAAATCTGCCCACCAGCCGTTCGAATACATTTCTTCATTCTGCGTTTGCTTCCGTCAGGATTATACTGATAAACTGAAAAAAATCCATTATCGCTGGTCGACTGCTTCAGAGTTTTCGAAATGGGATTCGGAGCAGCAGCAGGAACAACTGCTGACGAGGGCTTGTAATAAGATGTGGACGACGTTGAGGCGACAAGCGGCAACTCTGGCTGTACGGGACCGTATCTCTTGGGGGCAGCCATAATAACTGCAGGGGTTGGAGTAGCATTTGCGGAGTCCGCTCTTTCTACTGGTTCTGAAATTTGCTCCGGAAAGTGGCCAGATGCATGGTAATGAGCAGACGGATACATGGTTGACCATCCATGGTTGTGATATTCACTACTGGTCTGCAATTGATGCGGGATAAACGCTGTCGACGGGGGCCCAGCAAATGCATTAGTGCTGCGGGAGATTTCCGCCTCGAATCGACTTATCTCATCCATTAGTTGCCCGCCACGATGACCCATGTTGGGAATCTTTTTTGTTTCCTCCGTGACAGATATCACTACACGAAGAGGGAAAACGTATCAAGACAAGTAAATTGACTCACCGAGGGAAGAGCACTGCTGTTTGATCCAAGGTTTCAAATTCAAGTCTTTGAATAACATATTCGAGCCTTCAGTTGCGTTCGATACCCAGCAAAAATAAAGAATAAACAATCTCGAGGAAAAGCAAGAAAATTGACGGATTCTCACCTTGTTCCGATAGTGGACTTCCACACTTCAACCTAACTTTCACAAGTAAATTCCTGAAAGAAAAACAATAACAAAATTGTTTACTTCCAGAAACTCAGTTGATACCCTCGGCGAGTCTACACTAAACAAAAACACGATTACAACAGATTGCGTTTCCAACGACTCGCCCTTGAATAAAAAATGTTGGTTCCTCTTCGATAACCGATAATCTGCAAAGGGCTTAGTTCTTTCTTTGAATATAGAAACTTGATGTGATGACATTCTCGGCATAAATTCTTACGAATAGGAAAAAAAAATGCAGCGGCTATTGAAGAAGATCTTAAGGCCAACATTTTCAGAAGACACCAAGAAACTTTGAATGAAACACACTTTTATCATTTTCTAAACCCATCCCACATTTCAACAACGTACGAAACTGCCAATTGGACTATGTTACCTTAGCGTCATCAACGAACTACACCAATTTCCCAACTCACACCTCCCTTGGACAAAATTATCGAGGATCCATGGAACTGATTCTTGCCACAGCAAGCTTAGCAAATGAAAAATTTCCCAAAAATAATTTTTTTAACCTCAGGCAAAATACCACCACAAAACTGCAAAACTCTCGAATCACACGAATCATCAGAAAAAGAAAGCGACCAGGATGCATTCATATGGAATGCAAGGACTCAATCTTCCAACGTCGAACGTTCTGCAGGAAGTCTTGCGTTTTACGAACATCTCGACATAATTTGTCTTTTCCGTTTTCATGCTTCTGCTTCAGATCCTGTGGAGATATTTTCAAGAATATTTTACATGAATCTTTCATTCAAATGATTACATCGCTAAATACACACACCTGAATAAACGGTAAATGAACTTGAAAATGAAGTACAGCTCCGAGAATATGCCAGAAACTCAGTTCAGGCCACAGCACACGGGTGAAATGAATCACAGCAAAATCGCTCTGAGGGTAAAATCGGATTATTACGAATATGTCCGAGCCAGATAGAAAAGGAAGATTACCTGCCACAACATGAAGTCGGATAAGCGAACTTCGCCTGAAGTTCTGACGACCAAATCCAGCGGTTGGGAATCACAAGTGTCTAAGGATAGGTCTACAACACCGGAACAAACATCCGACGGTTCCAAAATCTCCTCTCGTACAGCTCTTAGCACGTTGTTCACCCCCCTCAAAATGTCGTTACGTCCTAAAAATCATATCATCCAGTAAGACGACGGAATAAAACTTTTCTTTAGCATACTCACCAGTGTAAGAAAAACAAATATTTAACGCAAAATTGCTGTTACGCTTCGTTGTTTCCATGACACGAGAGAGATGCTCTCGAACTTCTGCCGTCAGGAGCGAAAAATCTCCAAAAAAACGAATTTTCAAACCCACTTCAGCAAATTTATCTCTGAAATTGAAGATGACGAAATTTAAATTCACACGTAGTTATGGATATCGATATTAATTTACCGTTCCTCAATTACAAGTTCCGCCTTATCGCACGCCAGCTTCATCAAAGCGTTTACTTCATCCACGCTCCTTTTGAAGTTTTCGATGCTAAATGCATACACGGAAACTTCGCGGATTCCTAGCTCACGGCACCAATTGAGCACATCAGAAAGACGATCAAATCTAAAAAAAATGTACCAATAACATCGATAAATCAACATGAGCTCCGTAGAGTCTTAAAACCACGATGACCATCCGTTTAAGACAATTCAGGATGTATAATTACTCGTTTCGTTAGGGACATTAGCGTTACTTATACAACACATTCCCAGTCGAGATCCCAAAAATTCAATCATTTTTCAAAGCTATCACGAAATTCAAGACCTACAAGAAGGCTTCTATGTCTTTCGTTGAAGCGAACGACGTTGACTAACAAATATGACTAACCCTTCTACGTGTCCACGAACTTTGTCCATGTTCCTCTTGGCTGCATATCGCCTGTTTCCGTCCATGATAAATCCGACGTGTCGCGGAAGTGGACCGGCTGTCATCACTTTTGCTGCGAGCCATTGCGGCCAGGAAAGTTTTGATTCTTTCACCCACGACATTCGTACTTTTTCAATAAACCTGGCAGCACTATTCTCAACTAATCAACTCAGCATCACCAATCATAAAAATAAATTTGAAAATAAACTCGAAAGGTATAACAATTTTTCATCAATCTCACAACTATCCGCGACGAAAGATTAAATCGCTGGTTTTCGCTTCCTAGAACCAGGTAGAGCAAAGAGATCGACATCTGGATAGCCATCAGGACCTTTAAGTGGCGGGGAACCAGGAAGACCGAAGAATCGCATGTAATACGGACCCAGTTTGTCCATATTGGCCAAAAATATCAGTCTTAGTCGCTGAACACATTGCTGAACAGCTGGACTTGGCGGTGCGGGACTCAAACCGTCGTTGTAAGCGCTCAGCGTTCGTGCTAAAGCAATCGGCGTATTAAGCATTTCCCGAAGGTAGGCCCACCAGTCCGACATGAAAGCTCGGATCTGAAAAAATTTTAGATCAATTGCGATGTAGCACAGATATTTTCAGTTCCCGAAGTGGCCAACAAATCTGAAAAAAAAATCTTCGATGAAGCTCTGATCGAAGAATTTCAGAAATAACCCCTTTTCTTGAGCATAGAAGCAGCAAAATACTATATCGACACGACAGTAAAAATAATCTGGAACGCCGAAAGTAGAGAACAACGAACCTGGGCAGGTGGCAAGAGATCCAAAATCTCCCCAAACATGGACATGGGAGGCGGGCAAAGGTTGCTCTGACTCAGAATGAGAATCAAACGCTTCGTATCTAGAGACTGCTGCGGACAGTCTCCTCCAGACGCTTCAAGTGTGCTTGACCAATGATGCAGACAAACGCAAGAGATTGCCCGTAGAATGGCAGAGCAATAACAGATCGGTGGAACACAAGTAACCGAGTTTTCTCCAGCCGTCAACGGAGTATAAGCTTGATTCCGCGCAATGAAGAGTAGGAGGTGCCAAGAAATCGGATTGGCTGAAATGCGACGACAAATTTCGATATCATGTTCAATCGTAACTCTGCCAGCATCTTCGTCAGGCCAAGGAACGTCAGAAAACATCACGTCAGGCGCAAGATGTTCCACTAGAAGATCTGCAAGGTATTTCCAGGAGGTCGGGTGCGGTGCTTTTGTGCTTCCACCAAGCAGAGCTTGACCATTAACTTCCAGTATAGTCTGAAAATAATGGAAACCATTCGAATATCGTACTCTTCCAAGGAAAATAAGTACTTGAGGTGTGGACAATCGCATGATTTCTCGTGTCTCAATCATTCTGATTTCATTGCAGCAGAATATTTCAGAACAAATTATGTGTACTACCTCAGAAGTGTATCGCCCTTTCCCACATAAAATCGTTCCCTCGACTGAAAACTAAACACGACACTCAACTTACCATCAGGAAATCTAGAACATGTTGCTGATTTGATCCGATATCGCATGGGAGAACGGATTCACGGTCTTCATTACGAACGTTTCCGTGGCCCAAGCAAGAGGATCGATACAGCGTTGACTGGATGCGAACCATGTCCGTGGCTCCGGAATGCAAGCGTAGGTTTTCTTCGAGCAAAGAATGTTTGATATTGTTTGCCAGCGGTTTTCTGATGGGCACGTCTTGAGCAACCATTCCCCCGATTAGTTGACAGAAATTGTGGGAAAATGTTCGATCTATCACGAATCTCACAGCCATAAAAGATACATCAAATTGTAAAGATTTTTCTTCGGGATTGGTGCTTCCACTTTTCGGAGGATTCCTCTCTGGGCATTGGGGGATAAGATCAGCCAGAATTTCGTTACAAATGTTGATGCCAGTTAGTTTCTGCATCCCTTTCTCGTTTAGTTCCTCAGGCCACGAAAGTAATCGAAAAAAAGCCTCCACTATGGATTCAACGAAGTAACTCAACGCAGACGGCGACCAGCTCTTGACCTCCGTTTTCAACGGAAGAATACAAAGCAAATCCAACATCCGGCAAATGCAGGAAGAATCCCACAGTAGTGCTGCAAGCTTTGAAACAGAAGTTTTCAATGAATAAATCCTGTTTCCCAGAATATAATTTTTGTTACTCACCAAAGTGACGTTTTTTGTCAAGGCACGAGTGAAGGTAGCTCGCAATATGAGTGGAATAACTTCGTCACTTATTTCTACACGAGGAGTTTCTTTTTCCCATGCAATAAGTTGGAGTAGATTTTCCAGAACTATCGCCTGTACTTTTCTGTCAGACTCAGTGTCCGAACGAAGGTCTTTGAGCAATGATGTCACAGTGACCAAAACAGCATCAGGACATGGTCCTTGTACACGAACGATTATCCGGATGATGGTCTCGCAAATAACTGGACTTATATCCAACTTCAGTAAAAACTGGCGGGCATATATCTTATGATCATTCAACATTCGATCCAAGGGCACACTAGAAAGATTACCTGGATAGCTTCTGAAGCATAGGAAGAGCAATCATGAGGTGTCAATCCACCCAACACGTCGATTGCAAAATTCCTCATGTTTAAGGCAGCTTCTTCGTCAATAGCCTTGTTCAGCTCGCTGAACACAAACAAGAGAGGGAGCATTTCAGACCAGTGATTTCCCAAATCAGAAAAAAGTGGCTGGAGTAGATCAGGCGATGATGAAGCGTGAGAACGTCCACGGCCCTTGTCTTGATTCCCGCGAAATATCAATTCGTTCCTCAAACGATCTATGTCAAAAGATTTTCTTTTTCCGAAAATGGACTAACTTTTACCGCAGTTCTGTCTCACCCAAAAAAGTGAAAGCCGCAATCCTGATGCCCAAAATAGTCTCCTTGGAATACGAGGACTTATTCACGATACAAGTTTTGATGAATTTTTCGAACAAAACCGGCGGAGTCCAAAAACAAGACGAACCAGGACCATATCGAATCAACAAGCGTACGAACAAATCCCACATTTCTTCTGCGTTTACTGGCTTTGACGATCGATGAAACCATAGTCGACTTTGATTCCAGAGATCACCGACAAGTATTTCGTCCACTGAAAAATAAATGAATGATGAAACTCAAAAATACTTGAAACAGAAAAAAAACACTCACGGCAGCGAAGTAGGCAGTCACTAGTAACCTGACGAATCACACGCGACTTGTCTCCAAGCAACAGGATAAACGGAAAAAAAAATATTCCGGGCCCAGATTTGTCTTTTGCAGAAACCTATAACCTCATTGAGTGAGAATTGAACTGATAATGCAATAGAACAAGCGCATGTCACACCTTTGCAAAATTGACGACGGCTTCAACAATATGGCCATAGTGCAGCAGGGACAAATGATCGATGATCGATACAACCGATCGAATTTTCAATCCCTAAATAAAAATTAATTAATTAAGAGGAAAATTTTTCAAGAGGAAAATTTGGCCTTACCGTTTGATCCAAATCTGCAGATGAATGAGGTTGATTACGTTCAAAAAAAGTCGCGTGAACTCTCAAGCCACAGTCCAGAAGTTTCGGTATTATTTCCGATGGATATTTCCCTCCCAAGTGAGCCACAACCCAGTCAAAGGCTTCCCCATAAGCTTCACTCGACATCACCAAAGCTTTCACACAAGTAGCGTCGAATCGAAATGATTCTGTTGTTCTGACAGATGAATGTTCGCTTGACGCTTCTCCGTGAGAGAGATTCGCTTCAAATGATTCATCCGCCAAGTCCAGAAGCGCCTTCGTTACGATTATTTCTTGATAACTTTGAAGTTGTCCAGTCACGCCATAACCCAGAGATGACGGAGGTAAAACTCTGCTTAGACGACCTGAAAAGCAGAAGATTCACAATTTACCGTGGCTAGCTAAGTGGGTTGTGATGAGTTTTTTCAACAAGCCTATGAACATACCAAGTAGATCCAAGGACCAAGTCGTCAAAATAGAACTCCAATGAGTCGGCGACTTCTTCAAATTTATTCGCAGCGTCTCAATGAATGCCACAGCAGCTTTCACGTCCTCGTCAGTGGCGTCCAAGTCTCGGCCCTAAAATTTCGTATAAAACAGATGCATAACACTCTTCGTAATACGAAAAATAAGCTAATGAATATCACCTTCAGGTCCACAAATTTCTGAAGAATGCGAAGAAATATGACGGAATAATGTTCCAGGACGGCGTCACGAGCAATCGGGAATTTGGAAAATAAATTTATTCCCACGCGAGCCCCTTGCAGGGAACGCAACAGGTTTTGAGAGTCGACTGAACTTGCCACTTCCAAGTATAGTCGAAAATCTTCATCTAACTTAGTCACAAACGACTCCATCATTGGAATCTAACCCTGCAAAATGTCAAAACATGATCTCATTATATTTTAGGGGCAATTTATAGCATCATCATGAATAAGGGAGGACATTTGTACAACAAAGCGATCACATTCCTAATCATCTTTCCAGAGTTACCCTTCATACTAATAAATCTCTCAAGGGTTCTTTCTTCGAATTTTTTTTGCAGTATGTTCCCAAAATAATTCCTCCCAGAATCCACAAACCCAAATATTTTTGAGAGCAAAATGCTTTCCAACACGTATTTGGGTCATTCAGGTCCAGGGTCCGGATCTGAGGAAATCAGATATAAAAGAATTCGTTTTAAAGAAAAAAAAACGACGCGATGTTGTTCTCACCTGATTGGCAATGAAACCACCAGCCGTAAACACAGAAAAAAAATACGGCCAGCTCTGATCAGCTAGAATTCCCACTAGTGTGAGACTAGAAATCATTCCTCCTCCGAAGTAATCGAACCATTGCTTGCTTTGATCACCGAGTTTCAGCGCGAGACTTTTAATCCCCACTACCGAATCGTCAGTTTTGTCCTGAAACATAAGATATTCGGATCTAAATGAAGCACGAGAACTAAGCAATTTTTTTTATCACCTGGTGCGCGTACACAGTGTCGTAGTAAAGTGTCCAACAAATTCCAGCAGTGTACAACGGGAGACAAACTGACCAATCCATATATCCCTTGACCGCCGTCCAGCCCATCAAAGCTCCCCAATTGAAGGTCAACCCGAGAGCAAGTTGAGGCCAATAAGTGAAACGCTTAAATAGCGGATACGAGATCACTAATCCTAAACACAGAAGGAGGAAATGCAAGTTAACGAAATTAAATTGACACGGAATGCGATCTCAATCTCACCCATGGAAGCAAATCCCAACATTATGCAAAACCAATTCAATTGGAGGAGTATTATCAATCCCAAAGATAGTTGCAACACCAAGTTACAAATCGCCGCGTGCATCGTCAATGATTCACTTGCTAAAGGTCTTGATCTCGTTCTTTCTACCTGGACAACGAAAGGAAAAAAATCAACTGCAACTAGCGGCACAATCTAGAAAACTGACTATTAGCGGTTGCATTACTAGCGTAAATCTTAAACTGAGTAAAAACTTAATTTTAAATATTGTATGAACCCAATCTTTCATTCAACGTAGTGCATTTCAACGTCATCAAAGAATCGAAGGTTGGCTCCTAACTGACAAGACAGCATTCATCTCACCGCTTTATCAAAATCTTTGTCCCAGATGTCATTGATTATGCAACCAGCACCTCGCATGATCAGGGCTCCACAACCGAATAATGACAGATAGTAAAAGCTCGGTAAACACCCCGCATCTGCAGCCAAGCAAATACTCCAAGTGCAAGGTATGTATAGTAGCCATGTTCCTGTCTCAGATAGAAAGGAAACATAAAATTCAGCAAAAATGTCCCCACTAAGATAAACTTACCCGCAGGCTTGTGAAGTCTTACGATCTCTAAATGAGGCTTCAACCAACCAGGAGTCACAGACACAATTCTTTCCGGCAAAGATAGCTTGGCTAAATTCGCCTTAAAACCACCAGAAGACTTATTTTCTTCAATGTCTCTGGCTTTCAAACATGAGGATCGACCGGTGCACGTGGGGCTCAAGCTATCAAGATTACCTAGGAAAACGCTACCTGTCCTAAGTGCACTGTCATTGATAAACTTCAATCGAGAGCGCCACATGTGTCAAGTGTCTGCAAAGTAATTAGAAGTAATTCTTCACTGTTGGACTCTCTTTTCGACCACTCCCTGCGTGCGCTGGACGGGATGGCATTTCCGGCTCCTGGCACGCGACAAAGCTCGAAATATGCGATAAATGCAAAGCGTTTCGGGGAACACGAGTGACAGAGCATGGTTTCACATAAATTTGGACAACAAACGTGACGCATTCACGCTACCAACCATACTGTATGAACTTTCTGCATAAGGCTCTAATTCTTGCATCAGAAGCTGGTTTCCTCTTTGTCCAGAAACACGGAGGAAGTGGGCGAAAGAATGGATCAATTTCAGAAGGTAATATAATACCGTTTCATTGAAGAGATGGCTAATAAACACGCCTTCAATCGAATCGTACCGATAAAAATTAGAACACCTCTTCCCTGAAGCGAAATCGAATACGGTTTCAGAACGTAAGGAACTCCTGGAACGTATTTCTATACGTCAGTTTTCCATACCGAGACAACTCGAAAATTACGAGACTGGCTCATCGTACTTTCAACATCAACTTCAAGCTAGAAAACATCACCACACCATCGAATCATCACCACGAAAATTTTGATCAACAAGCATCACTCATCAGCATACCAAAGTCTCACAATGATTCAAGCAGAAATTGGAAATTACCCTCCGACTTCACCACTTTATGACACAAGTGACTTATTTCAAGCGACGGAGATTTCCGATAACGCCTCATCTTATCAGGCCAGAACAAACTTCCCGAGACGGATGTGCCAGAAATACGGGCATGAAGTATAGTGGCAGCGAATATCAGACTACAAAAATTTGCAATCCAATACCAATTAGTTGAGTCCAACGTACGGTAACCCGGCGTTGTTCAACGAGAATAGCTCATCAAATTTCCAATGACAATGCCCACTGCTATAAGTAAGCCTACTTTCTTCTGAGCGATGAAAACGTCTTCACACGACTTAGGGCGATCGATGTCCAAGGTTTGAATCTGAAATCCAATCATCATACACGTCCGCAGTGTAGAGGATAATCTTAATTCCCCTTACCTGACGAAGAAGCCAACCATATGTGGCAGACGCAAATAAGAAATACGTCATGGACTGCGATGCACTAATGCCAGATGCGAAAAGGCATGCTGTCATGACGGTAACAGTCGCCGTCAGCCAGGATTTCGGATGGTCTCCCAATTTTATGGCGAGTGATTTTACGCCGGACGACAGATCATCTTTCCTGTCCTGTAAAACAAATCGAATATAGTAATGCACAAATCCAACAGAATAGAAGAAATCACACCTGGTAGGCGTAAACTGTATCATAAAAAACTGACCAGAATACACCCGCAAAATATAAAGGCATACAAATGGTCCAGTCACAAAATCCTTTGATAGCGGAATACCCGAGCAGGACACCCCAATTCAATGTCAAGCCCAGGAAAAACTGAGGATAGTACGTGATCCGCTTGAAAGCAGGATATATGCACACAGGAACTGGAATGAAAATTTTCGCATAATCTTGTGCGAGGCAAACCGCTGTAAATCCCTTACCAACAGCAGCAGCACCGAGAACAACACTATATGGATTCAACTGCAACAGGATGCCTAAAGCCGCAGTTAGCTGCAAAGCAAGCAAGGCAATTGCCTGGGGAACTGTGACCAATTCAGAAGGCAACGGACGATCCTTCGTTCTCTCCACCTTTGAAAGGAAAGGTGAACATTCGGAATCCCAAAAACAGCAATTATGCTTTCACCTTTTTATCAATATCGTGATCCCACAAATCATTTACTGTACAGCCCGCGCCTCTCATTAATATAGCCCCAATTCCGAATAAAGCGAGGTGATACGAATCCGGCAGGCATCCAGCGTCCGCGGCCATACAAACGCCCCACGTCCCAGGCAAGTAAATCACCCACAAGCCTGAAAACCACGCGACCAAATGATTTAGATGCAATTTGAATCAGATGTGACGCTTACCTGTCGTCCTGTCCAATCTCATCAGCTTCAGATACGGCCTAAGAAAAGCTGGACATGCGTTCACGATTTTTTCCGGGTAGGTGAAGTTTTTCTTTTCGTACTTGAGCTTTCCATCACTCTGACTTGTCTGGTTATTAACCGCAGATGATTGCTCGGGGCGAGCGCGTAATGCATAAGAACGTTTAACATCGGTAAGATAGATGGTAGTCACGTAAGATCGCTTCAGCAAAACTCTTGAAAATTCACAACGCCCGAGCGAGCATACCAGAGGCATAAGCTCACGAAAATTACTTGGAAATGTTGCCCTGACTAGGAACATTCAGCGGGTCTAGTGTACTTTAGCGATGCCAGTTAAACGCACTGTGCGCGTTCATGCGCGCGTCCATTTTTCAACCTGTGCTGCCCTCTATGTGTACTTTGCTTTCTTACAGCTTCGGAACCAACGCCTCCAGCAACCCTGGCAATGAGTGACTTCAAAGGCTACCTCACAGTAACACAGGAACCAAGCAGCATTGCATCCACATCAAATCACAATATCTCTCAAAGTGTCCTTTCTTTGTGTGTCTTATAGATGGTAGTCACGTAAGATCGCTTCAGCAAAACTCTTGAAAATTCACAACGCCCGAGCGAGCATACCAGAGGCATAAGCTCACGAAAATTACTTGGAAATGTTGCCCTGACTAGGAACATTCAGCACCTTCTGACAGAGAAGCACGTTAATCATTCAATACTTCGCAACCCATAGCGATTTGCATGCTTCGTTCAGACAGTTGCACTCACGCGGACGCGGCATCGCGACGAGTGCATGCGCGCGGCCCCTTTCAGCCGCAGTTCAACTCGGAGCTAATCCACATGAGGCCTAGTATGGGCTTCATCCATACGCGACCATCGCTACCTTCCGAGCAGAAAGGGACCCGGGATGTCCTGTTATCTCCACCAGGTTTGGCTAAGGCAACGCTTGTGGAAGCTGGACTGGTGGGAAGTGTACAGTACGGTATAGGCCAGGGAATCCCTTAGTTCTTGACTATGCACAAGTCCACTTGACTTCCTGTTGAAATCACTTTCAAAATACTATACTATGCCACCCAAGCACTTCAACAGGGGTGCCAGATCTCAACCTGTTGAAGTGCTTGGGTGGCATCTTAGCTGGTTTTCGATAAAAAAGGAAAACTTTAAAAATTTTCAGTTTTTGACGAATCATTATTTTAATGACATTCAAAAGAGCATAAAAAACAAAACAAACGAATGCCTGCGGAGGATTCTATATACTGTATACTGTATGCAGTATTGCGCGTAGAATCCAGAAGTAAATTTCTTCCCTCATTTTTTTCCATTTTGGGACTTTTTTATTTTCTATTTTCAATGTCATAAAATTTGTATGTGAAAAACAAACTTTTGCAGTTTTTTGCACATCAAAGTTTAACTTTATAGTTATTTTTAGAATTTTTAAATGGACATTCTCCCGATTCTTGAATGAAGTGTATTTTGACAATTTATTTTGCTTTTTATTCTGTTGCTGGTCTGCATTACAAAAAATCGACAAGAATCTCGATTTTTTTAAACGGATTGGAAGGTTTCATTTCCTATACTGTATTTCAACATTGCTTTCAAACACTCGAATATTTTATTTTCAAATGCACGAATCATTAAAATGGTTTTTCAGGCCAACTCAAAAATGTCTCTAAAAAAAAAATTACTGCCTTTAAAAAATTCCTTCATTTCTAATCTGAAATTTTCTCCCTTCCCATAATCATTGAAAAATTAACTTCATGCCAAGCAGACTCCTGAAGCCACAGAAAAGAAAAGAAATTGTGAAAAAATATTTCCTTCTAAATGATTGTGTCCAATCAGCTGCCATCAGTCAGTCAATTCACTGTTGCACACGCACCCGCCAGCCGGCAAACGCCGGTCCCTCCAACCACCAGCTGGGCAGTGCTTGGTGTCCCAAATCCCCACCCCACCGAACCGTGGTCTGGACACCTGATTTTTGGGGGAGCCCAACAATTGGGTGACTAAGATCCCATTGATTCTAAAATTCTGGTTACAGTGTCTTTCCAGGCTTTGGTGAGCAAAATGATTTCCTGCCACTGATGATTTTTTGTGTAAAATTTCAGCAATGTTAGGTTACGTTAGGTCAGTTTATGTTAGTTTAATTTAAGTTAGGTTAGTTTTGGTTGGGTTTGATGAGTTTTTTCTTTTTGCAAACATTTTTACAAGATGAAATTTTGTACAAAAAATAATCTGTTGCAGGAAACAATTCTGCTCACCAAAGCCTGGAAATACACTGCAACCAGGATTTTAGAATCAATGGGATCCTATAGTCACCCAATTGTTGGGGTGCCCCATGGCAACAATTGGGTGATCCAACTGCAGTTTGGTGGGCTGGGGATTATTGGGAGACCAAGCACTGCCTCGGCTGGCAGTTGGAGGGGCTGGCATTTGCTGGCTGGCGGGTGCGCAACCTGAATTGACCAACTGGTGGCAGACTGGGATGATGTCCTCTTTCCAGAAAATATTTCAAACCATAAAATTGAAGAAAATTGGCCAATGAAAAAACGCTCAAAAAGTTATGAAACAGCTTTCCTTCTGATTGTGTATTTTTTCGAACACTATTTTAAAAGTACAGTATTGTTCACACAGAATGTGGAAACTATTTTCACCTACTGTTTAAAGAAAAATATTCATCAAAATTTGATTGATCAGATGCTGGAAAACAAAAATATAAAATTATTCACAAAGACTTGCATTCTGCTGTACTTTCAAGAAATATTTCCATTCCGATTGTTTTGAAATTTCAAAAATTATGCTGCTCAGCATGTCTATAAATAAAAACATCGATTATTAAAAAGAAAAACGATAGCTATAGGTTGTGAGCAGAAACTTCACCATAGTACTTACGTAAGTTACCCTCGCAAAAAGCACGAGGCTGTTCGATAGGAATACAAAAAATCAGAACTGTGATCGAAAAGACTTGAAAAGCGACTATGACACGGTTTTCTGTGTGCTGTATAGGGAATACATACTGTACAGCAGCGTGATGATGCATTTAATGCAACATGTAGGCTTCCTTTTGAGGCTTGTCAGTCAGATTTTTGATCACTGCGGGACCGGATTGTTATAACTATACTCTCCCCTTCTATCGAATTGAACCGTCGGTGACGAAATGTCCACTTTCCGCGATGCTTGGACATTCGCTGTATTTATCAATATCTTGAGTTCTCTTGCAAATTGTTATCAAGAAACACTCACCGGCACGAAGGTATGTTTCTCTTGCGAGAGTTGAATTTTGCTTGAAAATAATGTGCAGCAATGTGTTTGAATCAGATCGAAGCATTAAAACAGCTGCTGGAGTCGTACGACAATATCCCGGAATCCATCTTCGACGACATTCGGCCCCCAGGAAATTCTTCCAGCTCATCATGTGTACAGTATCCAACACTTCATGACATTCACATGAGCAACAAAATGTATCAAGTGAGACGGTCAAAATTTCATGGGTTCTTATCAAGTTTAGAAAGTGAGCTTTCAACATGATTGAAATAGGTTTCTGAAACTAGATTTGGCACGGTTTTGATAAAAACGTGCCATTTGGATGACAGAGAACCAACCGGTACTGTGGTCAGATGCGTGACTTTCGTCGAAGTTGAGCCAGCATTCCATGCAAAACATTTTGCTAAAATACCATTCCAACCGTTCTACACAACCTTCAACGAAGTGATGGGCCTTCAAGCCATTTTCTGGGACACGAAATCAAGGGATTTCAAGGGAAGATCAACGATGAAAAGCATAATGACGTTTATTTCTCTGCCAATTCTTCAAGACAATGCGATAGTTTTCACGTTTCCCTTGCCCGGAGGGTAAGAATAACTTCCCCAAACACATCATGGGAATCTATAAAAAATCTCATAGCTTCGTTGGGATACATTCGAAAAAACGTTCATTTCTCATTCTTACAAGTAAAACAAGCCTCATCAAAAGAATTTTTTGACGCGGCTCAAGGAATTTAAAGTACAGAACTTACCTTTCCTGTGGAAATTTTTCATGTTCATTTGATCTGAACCTATCGAAGCATGGAATACTTGCGGGAAATGGAATTCGCCACATTCTAACAGATTTTTTTTCAGAATAAAATTCCAGCCAACAAATTTTTGAATACCATAAAAGCTCCATTAAACGCCCCGGCGTTTATTTAACCTTTTCAATTTTTCCCCCTGGCCTCTAATAGAGACAAGCGTCTATTTTAAAAGGGTGATTACTGTATTTCAAACTGTGGATATGAAACAGAAAATGGGGGAAATAAGGGGAGACTGGGGAAAAAACTGTGATGTCCCACATATTGATTTTTGAAAATGAGAAGGAATGCATAGAAGAAAAGCTAAAGGAAAAGGGTTTCATTGTTGAGTATTTAAGACAAGATTGTGGAAAGTATTATTTACGATTGAAATAACAAAAGTTGGCATATGGACAATGGGTTTCAACCATGGCACGGCTACTAAATCCTGTAATCCCCATCATATTCAATTCATATTCTTCCCCAGTTGCTTTTTCAGCCCATTGCCCCTGTTTTTTTGGGGGGTCAGGTTGTCTTCCAATATATTGCAAGGAAGTGATGCAAAGAAAATTGAAGTAAGTATAACCTTTTCAACATTTTTAGAGTACATCATTTTTGAATTCTGCTGATAAAACCAAACAAATTGAAACGAAAATAAATGTTTTTTTTATTAAGCTTGAAAAGTTGACCAATCCTGGTTGACATTAGCAAAGGAAAATTCTGGATTTTTTGCAATATTTCCAATAGATTTTTTATATAATGAATTTTGAGAAGTGGACAAATTATGGTTGACATGAGGATGGGAAATTGTGCATCCATCAGAGGAGAGAATGTTTAATTTCACCTTTTTCAAATTGTGAGGGGCATACATCGGTTTCATCACCTTTGGTCACATTACCAGCCCAAAGGGTACAAGGTTTTTCTCACATCTGCAATTGGCCAGAGGAATACATTTGAGGAAATCATGCATTCATCCCAGGAAATAGTGAATTCATAATAAAGTGTCAAAGGAAAATTCAGTTTCCAAAACTGGAGACTGGATTTTCTTTACAAAATCATTTTCTTCAATGGATGCACAATTTCCTTCACTGATGTCAACTGGAATGTTTCCACTTCTTCAAATTTTATGATAAAAAATATATTAGAAAATAATGCCAAAAATCCAGGATTTTCCTTTGCTAATGTCAACTGGAATTGGTCTACTTTTAAAAATTAATAAAAGCACATTTTGTTAGATGTCAATTTGTTTGATTTTATCAACAGAATTCAAAAATGATGTAACATTAAAAAATTTAAAAGTTTTAAAAATGTTATACATGTTTAAGTTTTATTTGTGTCACTTCCTTGCAATTGGAAGACAATCTGACCCACCAAAACCAATGGGTTGAAAAGGGTTAATTGGGAAAGGCAATGAATTTAATAGGGGCCAGGGATTGCCCAAATTCAGTAGCCACAAGGTGGTTGACACCATCATGGTGTACCCAAGATTCTTGGAATTTTTGTTATGCCTCCTCCTTTCTTTGACCCGGCCACTATTAGAAGCCATCAGTTACTAATCCATTGGACCCCTTGTGAGACCTGGCGTTTATTGGAGACGGGCGTTGATTGAGACCAGGCGTTTATAAGAGCATACTTGGTATACTGTATTTTTAAATATTTTTCCTGAAAAAGCTCTCTGACTCGCTCTTGTTTTCTCTGGTCACCTCTGTACCGCTCTAATAATTTAGTTCCACGGCGAATGAAAATTGTTAAATCATTTGGTCTAAGATATACGGTTTCCAGACACTTATTCAATCATTCCACTGATGCTTTAACGCTATTGATTGCAGCATCAGTAAAGAAAATTTGGCAATTTCATTGGTTGACGGAAATCACGAATGCGAATCGGTCACTAATTTTGTTCGCGCAAAGCTACCTGCGGAAGCCGCTCAACCAGGAAAGAAAAAAGGAGTTGTTCTTTGCATGAAAAACGTTTACCAAGCTTTTCAAGACAACTCAATCATTTTTGCTGAGTGGATCGAAATCCAAAAGGCAATGGGGGCGGAGCATCTCGTTATTCCCATCATGGGAGAATTTCAGCACCCAAATGTCTCCAAAATGCTGAAGTAATACCTAAGGAAATCAGTTATTCGATTGCAAAAAAATACTGTCACTCGTTCGGTGGATTTTTTCTCACCATTCTCAAGGTTTTATGAAAGAGACGGATTCGTGACCACGAAAAGGTCATGCATGTACGGACGGCGATCATTTCCGACGGCTGTGATTCGCCTAAGTTACCCTGCAACGCGCTTTGGCTCCGGTGTTCACAGCATTCAATTTGATCTAGAAAAAATGAACCTGAATTCCTGCGTGATGGATTCTATCAGAAAGTAAGCTTGACATTTTTTCAAAGGAATTTCTCTCCTTCCCAACAATTACCGCGTTTTCCCGTGTTTTTAACTCTACCGTGTCTTCAAACCCTGTAGATGGCTTTTGTCTGATATTTTATTCACACAAGAAAGATAAAAGCAGTAAAAATGTAAGTTGATGCATTTCAAAAGGAAGTGAAAGACTGATTGAGCAAATAAACCCTTGCCACAAACTTCTGCATCCTGTCATCTCATTTAGGAAGCAGTTGTAGAAATGTATACTAACAAAGAGAATTGCACAGCCTCTTTAGTGAATTAAGCTTTAACTTTTTGGCCTAATTAAGTTTTGAAGAAATGTATATACAGTACAATAAAATGTACACAACAATTGGTCAGTGTGCAACCAGCCATGAAGTTATGCGCAAGCTTTGTTTGTCTCTTTTCACAATACAAAATTGTACAACTCTTCACAAAAGAGTTTTCCCAAGAATTTGCATAAGTTTTAACTTCTGCAATTCTGATTTTGCAAAATTTTGAAAATCTGACTGCAGGTTTTTCGCGGACTTACTGGGCTTCTCTCCCTGGCCTCCTTATGTGTATGTTCTCTTGAGAGATATTGATAGTATATACAAGTTCTGCTGGATACGGCTGTTGCGTCATATATTTTTGAAATTGTATCCTGAAATTAGTCTGCTTTTGGAATTGTGCAAAACAACTTGGGATTTCCCATTGAGCGTTTCAATGGGAACTTATAAAGTTGTTGGTTCTCAGATTCTATTCAAATTTTACTGCTTTTTTTGTGTCCTTCATGAGGAAAGGAGAGCCACCTGGAAGTTGTAAACTTTGAAACTTGCCCGTTCGATGGGTCATTTGTCTTTCCCCTTGTATGGTGGTTGTCTTTTAGTCTCTTTTTGGCAAGATTGCCCATCCTTTGACGGCTTTACTGTATCATTTCTTTTAGCACGCCAATTATATTTCTTTTGGCGCGCCCTGATTGAATATCAGTATCAATTTACGGGAGGGTATTTTTGCGGAAAATCCCCACAGCAGTTAAATTCCCAGAATAACAAAAATTACAATTTCCTGTAACTCTTCTTTCTTTACCCAAACACATATGCTTGTTTCCCTTACTCAAACTTGTTTTTGCTGGTTCCTTGAAGTTTGACTGTATTATAAACGTATACTGAAATGCTGAATACTTCATTATGCCATTTATGAATAAGAATTTATTCATATGGAACACTTGACTGAGCCGTTCAACTGGGATCGTGCAGTTTCAATTAGTGTTGAACATTTACTTTATTTTATTACTTATTCTGCAGAAACCATAAATTATTAGTCGATGCCAACATTAAATTTTTCTAATGGTCTATAAAATTTCAGCTGCAATTAAAATTAGGTCGTTTGGTTCGTTTTATTTTGTCCAAACCAATAGCTTATTTGCGGATCTCTATAAAATTGACATGCTGTTTTATCTTACGTTTGTTAACTTAAAGACAGCGTATAGCATTTGAAAATTCCTGCCGACGTTTCTTATTGCCGTTCGACGTTCAGAAATAACAGAACTGAAAAAAAACTGCTGGTCATGATCTCTCGCTAACGTCATTTTTCAGGTATGAGTTCGTATTTCCAGTCGACCATGACGAGCTCTATTCGATAAACCTCCCGGAACTTTCGACTTGGCAAGAACTTCAGCAGAGGTCATTCCTGAAATCCAGTCCAACGACGACAGCGTGTTTCCCGGAGTTTCAAATGATTCGAACGAATGAAGCCGTCAATTTTGCACGCGAACATAAACTCAGCAAGGTTTGCTTTTTAGGTCATGATTCTGAAAATTCCCAAACCCATCTCTTTTTTTTTAATGGCGGAAGCTAATATATAATACTCTACGATTATAACATGGACATCCGATTAACTGCTCCGAAAATTCCATTCAATGAGCAAATTTCACTTCATACCCTATAATTTTATTGAGCTATTGTACTTACCCTGCGTATTAAAATTTCAGGTTTTGCAGAAATATCCACCTTATTATATCCGGAGGTTTATGATTTTTAATCTGCTGAATACACTTTTTAATGAAGCATTTACTGTTGTACATTCTAATCGTCTAAACCTTTTTGGGCCCATGGAGCAGCAAAGTTCTATAAAATTGTTTGCAGACCAGCAAATTTCTGAAAAGTTTTCTGCGGACTGACAAGTAAAATAAAAATTTGCAGCCTCAGAAAGATTTGCTTGAAAGACAGGTATTTAAAAAATTTGTGATTTTTGTTGTGCCAAAAACAAGAACTAATGAAGCATCTATAGTGGCATGTCTTCAAAAAAGCAGAAAGGTTCATCAGCATGAAACAATTAAAATAATGTATCTCAGCAGGGTAAATTTTGTGTGAAGTAAACGTTATGAGAATAGCCAACTTTTATTTTTCATCAGATAATTTTAACTGTCATTGTCTTTCTGAAATATCAGATAAATAAAACAGACTTCATTGTTCCTTTTAATAAAAAATAGTATGGTGCAGAAAAATTTCCCATGGACTGGAAAATAAAATTCTGCAGACTGGGACTAGGCCGCGGACCGTGGGTTTTGGAACACTTGTCTAAATGGTTCTTGAATGATTTAATTTACCAGATTTAAATTTCCATTTAAAAGTAGGGAATGTTTCATATTTTGTTATATTTGACTATCAATCAAGGGGAAGACTCCCGCCCATTAGCCCAGATAATTGGAGTTCTACTGAGTCGTTGTATGTGCTGTGGAATGAATGCGATGATTGATCACTGAGTGAGTTGGTCACATCAGGTACTAGACGGGATTCCGGCGTACTTATATTTCATGAGCCACATCCACGCGACTGAAGATACCGATTCCAGAGGTGCACTTCCTCACCGAAGAAAATGCATCCACGACCTCAACTCTGTCATCACGTTGGAGTTTCATGGAGGAAGGTCTTGCTTACTTCCGGACGGAAGCTACCGACCCTGCACCACGAGGATTATAAATGGCAACGTGATGCAATCATTTCACTACAAGTCCAAGTGTACGAGCACTGCTGAAGATTTCGGCATTCTGTTCTTTCCTTGCGACTTGACCCGTGCCAAATACGCCTCGCTTGCCATTAGGAACAACGTATGGAAATACTTGCCTGTCGTGAAATCCCGGATGGAACACTTCCTGACTGAGCTGAAATTGGTTTGAGGTCGAGGTTTAAATTTACTGTACTGTACAAGTACTGTACAGGATATTTCATGCTAATGAAGTAAATTTTCAGCTTATTCTTTGAGCTTCGATATTGAACTCGCGAATACATATGAGGCGGCGTTGAAAATATTCATTCACTGTGGATGTCAAGGGAAAACCTAGGGGATTAATAAATTATACCTCGACTTATCCGTGATGGAAAATTTTATTTGTAAACATGTAAATGATTCATATACCGCCTTCTTTTTATGTAGAAATGCTGACGTTTATTACATGTCGCGATTTTGAGCAGCAGACTGTGCCAACTTTTTGCATCAATTTACAACACAACCTCGATTGAGTTCAGTTTTGAGATTTTCCTTCCTCTGCAGCTAGCTGGCACAGCAAGTACAGTTGCGTTAATACATTTTTTGAGTTTCTCAGTTTTTCAGTCAAACAACATTTGATTATTGAGGGTTTCGAATTTATAAACTTCAAACCACAAGACATTTCACATCAAGTCGTCATGAGGCTTCGCGGGATTTAAGCAATCAATCAACGTACATTACTATTGTATACATACACAAGTTGGACTGGAAATTTTCATAGAAATAATATTTTTCATATGTACACAGCGGAGAGTATGCAACCAATATTTTTCTGAGAAATGAAGCTATTCGTTGTGAAAAACGTGTTCCACACGCCGTCCCCCTCTAGCAATTGCAATTTCCTGAAAAATTCGGAATTGCATGAATTTTTATTCATTTTTTGTGGTACTAATGGAAGTTCTCTTGATGGTGGCACGTTGGCATCCCGAAGGCAGCGGGTTTGCTGTTTTTTATTGTTTTTTATCCTGCTATTTCTCATTAAAAAGGGAAATGTTTTATCCTGTATCTTCACATTTTTCTGTCTGTAATAATAATATGCCTCCAAAGAAGGTTTTGAGTTATAATAAGAAAGATCTTCAAAATATTCTCATTTTTTGTTTCTGAAACCCAGAATTAGGTAATACAAATCAGCAATATAAACAAGATAAGTCCCTTTTAACGCACTCAGGAACACCGAAAATGCATTTCATCGACAAGAGTATGTTTGCAGACAGCATATATTCGCTGGGAGCAGGACGTTTGATATTTTCCAAAATAGATAATTTTTCATACCCTGTATTTTCTCGTGCAAAACAGGATGTAAAAAAAAATCAGTAGCATACAAGCCCTGTTGTCATTTGTTATATACAGTACAGCTTCGCATGCCTGGAGTCCATTGCAGATCTTTAGGAATAATTGAACAAATTAGCGCTTCAATAATTTTGCATGAATAACTGTAGTGTACTTTTAAGAGGAGTTGGATATAGATTCATGTAACATACATTTGATAAGAGACTAATTATGCATGCTCATGGTTGGCACGCGAGGAAAGAGCAATAAAATCCTATTCCTATTTTTCCAATTTAAATTACGATGCATAGCTAAGTTTTCGGAGAAGACAGCGTGCTTCTCTATACCATGACTAAGGACAGGTGGACTTGACAGAAAAACATTTTCAGTTTCTATATAGTCCCAGGGTCATGCTGAAGGAAGCCATGAGTCATATTGTGCACATTCCTTGGATGATGACGAATAATACTCGGCGGGGAAGTGGACTGCTTTTCTCCACGGGAAACTACGTGCGTTGAGGTCATCTTGCCATGAACAGGTTTAATCATAAAAATTTGGGCAAAGCTTTAGAAAATTTAAATCTGAGAAGCTATAGTGTTACTGCATGAATGCAAATCATAGTACTGTAGCGTCTCATCCTTCTCGACAAATATGGAATTCATGAATCCAGATAACATGTAAGGAATAAGGACTAGGATTGGTGACGTGAACGCATTTCTCAAGATTTCTTCTGTTACAAGGGTATAGTTTTCTTCCTTGCAAGACCATGGTGACCATACAATGGATCACACGCTTCCCCGCAATTCTCATTATATCTCCAGCTCCCATTCAGTTTGGAATACTGTACTTTGGACCTCGATCTCGGTTTTGGACCTTTTCCTCCTCCTTCCTACATGACTGGAGGCTTCTGTTCTTTTTTTTTTGGTCATTTTCCTCCAAGATGGAAGGGCACAGGAGCCGTACAAGTGATGTCATACTATAGTTTCCCGCGGTTGAGTTCGCGCGGCCTTGACTGGGAGAGAGTTTCAAACTGTCATTTATTGCTAAAACTTTGTTATCATGGACAAAAGTAATTTGCTAAAACGTTTGTCATGGACAAAAGTCATTTGCTAAAACGTTTGTCATGGACAAAAGTCATTTGGTAAAACTTTGTCTTTGGAGGAAAAGGTACAAGCAGATGACTGGGAGCTTGAGATATTACGCTGAGGTTCGCGCGGAAGCGTGTAACCCCTCTAAAATTGTTCATACCAGCGAATAATCATTTGAACGTCGTTGTCTGAAATGTTTTCAAGTCGTCAGCTTCATCTGTTCTAAAGCGAATTAATTGTATTTCAGTCAACTGTTTTTTTTTTTTGGTTCACCATATGCTCCAGAGCATCTCGATGATCAGCATGTTTTTCAGCAGTGTTAGGTCAAAGGAAAGACTGTTTTCTTACATTTTGACCAACAAATAATATGTGGGTAGTGAAATTTAAAAAAAATCGAAGGTGAACGAGTATTCAAGTGCAGTATTGATGTTGAGTTTGAAAGTCGTCAGCTTCACTCGAATTCTCTTCGGAATTTGAGATATTTACTTAATTTTCAATAACGATGAGACTGAGAGGCGGCCCTAGGGTTCGCGGGGCCTGGGGCAGAAATGTCAAATGTGGGGCCCCTTAAAAACAATCCCCTGCCAATTGTCAAACAGCATTTGAACTATGAAACAAAATTCAAATTAAAGAGAAGCTGAAAATGCAATTATGCTTCTTGGAAGCTTTGAAAAGATCTTTTAAAGTTTTTAAAATAAACTTTTAGATTTTTTACATTTTTTGCATTAGCATCTCTTACTTTTTTAAAGGTAGAATTGTTTGTTTTGGCGGAAATGGTTGTACATTAAAATTTTTAAAATTTAAAATGCCAACCAAAATGGCCATTGCAAATAAAATTAATAAAATAACAATGATAATTACTGCAAAAAAAGAAGTGCAGCTAATCAAAAATCAACAGTTATCATCTTCCTGAGACCAAATTAAGCTGCTCAGCGTTCATTTATCTTAAAATTCTGCAGATTAAATAAAAAAAATTGCATCCGTAATTCTGGCAAATGTATCTGTCTCAGTTGTAATGCTGATCATCTTCAGGATGAATTTGAGAGGGCTTTAAAAAATGATTCACAGAAGCTTTCAAGTTTTAGGATTGTGGCCCAATTTGTGTACAGGCTGATCAAGAAAATCATTTTCTGACCTTCTTATAATTCTTAATTATTCACACATCACCAACATGTAGAAATGTAGCTTGTGTGTTTTGAAAAACATCACAGTTATTATTTTTCTCAATTTTTGAACAGCTGCTCTAAAATTTGGCCCCCATTCTATAACAGAAAAGGTATTACTGCTGCAGGATAATTTTAATAGCAATCAAGGGACTAGCTTTAGAGCTAAAAAGTTCGCATTCAGGGGGATTTAAAAGGAATTGTTCTTGAGGCATTTGCCAGGGATACACCAGAAATCCAGTTAAAAAAGATAATTAATATCAATAAAGTGCACGCTTTAGGAAGGTCCAGTGACAATTTTGTTCTATCTGTAATGGAGGAGCACATTTACTCTAAAGTCATGATGAATGACTGAATTTCATTTTAATCTTGATCATCAAATTTTTAGAGATATTGATTGCAAATTTGACCATCATTACATAAACTACATATGGGAAAGTTCAACATGGAGGATTGCCATCATTTAATGTTGATTCAAAATTCAAGATGCATTGTTTCTACGGAATTGAAAATTCTTATTGATAAGAACTCAACAAGACCTCATAAAATTTGAAAATGCATTTTTCTGCAACAAAAATTCCACTGAAGCTTGAAAAATGTATTTGCAGAAGGAAAGCTCCTATGCCAATATTCTTCTGAATGCATTGTTGGCTCTGTTGTATTTTACTTATAGATCAGATTACTTAACAGGAAACTTTATAATAAGTTAAGAATAAACTTGTCCTTTTGGAAGGGGCCCCACTCCTTCCAGTTTCAAGGCAAGTGAAAGAAAATGTTGAGGGGCCGGACAGCCAATTTTCAGAACCACAGGACGGCGGGGCCCCCTCAAGCACGGGGCCTGGGGCAGCCGCCCCTCTCGCCCCACCCTTTGGCCACCACTGATGAGACTCTAATAGTTTAAAAAGGTGCACAACATTTTAGAATTTGTTGAAGTCAATCAAAATGTGGAAATTTGCTGTCTTATTGGCCTTCCTTCTGATCTTTGGAGAGATTTATGCGGCATAAAATAAGGTTAGTTTGCCTTTACAATCAATTAAGCTTTGCTTTGATGCATTCTATTTCTTACTGTACCTATTCTTGGAGATTTGCAGCATCCAAACATTTCAAAATTGCTCAAGTAATGTCAAAATTGATGCAGTTGCAAAAAGAATATTTGCCAATTTGCCAACATTATTTATTGTTGGTATGCAAGATATTATGAAAAGCAAGGATTTCTTACTATCCAACAGTCAAACCTGTATAGAAAACAATAATTTCAATTGAAAAGATTATTTAATCAAAGGTGAAATGTTTCCCTTTGATGTTGACAAAAAATGTTTCAAGAGACAATGGCAATACAAGAAAACAGTATAAAGTACACTAATAAAAATGCTCCAAAAATACACTTGATTTCTCAATTGAAACATTCCTACTTTATATTGGAAGACCATTGTTTAAAATATGAAAACTCAGAATTACAAGGGAAACAACTTTTGAAGTTATTTTTTGTAGAAGCTTATTTTAATTTTACCAAATATGTTCTGATTCCATCCAAAGCTTGTTATGAAATGAAAGTATCTGCCCACAGATGTACAACAGCATCCCCAATTACCACTACATCATGAGCAGGGTTGTTAATTGCCCCACAATCCTGCAAAATTGTTGAGGCATTGGTGTGTACCTCAATGGGTTGCTTTTTGTTCTACCTTTTGAGCCTAGCTGTCTCTGTCAGGATGCGCCTGTCCACCAGGTCAAACTTCTATAACCAGGGGACAGCGCACAGACCCTTTCCATGGCTTGTCATGAGGCACAATGACAGCCACGGTCTGAAA